ATTAACCATCATCAATTGATGGCTTGGCATTCTTTATGCAAGGTCCGTTTTCCATTTTGCATTCTTGTTATCATTTGAAAATTATTACAGCATGGGCTTCCTTTGAAATAAACTTTTCTTGCCCACACCCCACAAGACAAAAACCAGCTCCTAGTCACTGTCCTAGTGATATTCATGGCTAGAGTACTTTCATAATGATCGCCATTATAATTTTGGTTAAGACATACTGAAGATAGTTTACTGAGAAATTAAATTAATTAATCGGTCCCTCTGGTTCACAAAAAGGTCCTTAGACTTCAAAAAATGTATAAATTAGTCGCTATAATTATCTCTTCTTCCCAGTCAATGCTCGGCAAGGAAGTCGCAGCATCAATGGAAATTCCATTGCCCATGAAATTCTAATAACTCATCTCTGATTCCTGCACAGGCCAGTCACAGACTGGGCTAAGGGAAAGGATGAGATGGTACAAGTTACCACTTGATCAGTACAAAGTCTATTTTATATTTAGGACAAAGACAAACTCTTCAACTAACTCTTGCATTTAGGACAAGAAAATGCAGTTAATATGCTCATTATACAGCTCGTCAAGCAATGGAATCTTGAGCATAGGTTCAGACCAGTTCTTAGTTTCTGGTCAAAAGAAAAAAAAAAAGGACCTGCTCTTAGTTTCCTTTGTTTCTATCAATGAGTCTTTTCTTGCTCTTCATCAACGGAGAACAAGAAAAGAACATGATTCTTGTTGTTGAATAAGCATAATTATACCAAAAAAGGGAGTTTTTTAATATTTTTTTTTAATCATATTACTTGATTATAAAATATAATAGGGAAAAAATGTAGTTGATTTGGTCATATAGATGACGTGTTATTGAGATTGTTGGCCTTCGTCTGAAAAACAATTGAGCGCCCACCTTGAGCTTGAAGTCAATGTAAGTCGGTCAACAATACTGTTGTGTTGGAATTCTCCTCTCCCTCCCATTCAATTTTAAACTCCTCTGTAGTGTCAACACATGAAGCTTCCCTTCAGGTTCACATTCTGCTCTTCTCTCTGCAATTTCTTAATGACTCCATTATTTGCTGTCATGGACCCCACGAGGACCTCATAATTGTTTCTAGACAAAATTATGCTGAAAGGACCAAAACCATAAGTTATGTTATTTCATGTGTTGAATGGCTGGATTTCTCAAATTACTATAAAGAACTGAAGTCCTTCTCTACAACTTGGGGGGGGGGGGGGAACCCTTAAATTTTGATAACTGAATTAGCCATACTGACTTCTGGTCAAAAAAAAAAAAAAAAAATAGCCATACTGACGTTGTTAAATTTGCAGTGTAGTGAATTCACATATTGGGACCTGTAAACTTGGGTTCTTTGAGTGTCGTTCAGAACCCAAATTTACAAATTTAAGTACAAGTATTTGAATGAAAATGGGTTCCATATATTAATACTCCCTCTATCTTTTTTTATAAGAAACAATCTCTCTTGGCGTTAGATAAAGAGGCTTTGGGATCTCAATCCCCAGTGTTCTAATTTATTTTCAGCTTCTATCTTCTGTACCCAAAAAAAAAAAAAAAACTCTCTTAGTGGTATCCCTAAATGTCATAAACAAATCATCTTTTCTAAAATTTTTGTCCAAAAAATCTCTCTTAGACGCTAGGGTTGTTCATGAAGGAGGGAAAGATGATATTCTTGTCATTGCAAATCTTGCAATGAGATGCTTGAGACTCAATAGGAAGAAGAGACCTACAGTAAGAGAGGTTTCAACAGAGCTAGAAGCGCTGAGAAAGACACAAAATGCTTATTAAGAGGTCACTGAACGCTCTCATGAGCTTCCAAATGATAAGGACACCATCTCTTCTTTTGAAACAATCCAAGAATCCACAGAAGAAAGCATGTCATTATTTCTCCAAGCGGATTCCACATCCATCTGAAAGTGAACCAGACACCTACAACATTGTTTCCCTTTTTCGGTACATAGGGTCCATATCCTTACGACAAGATTGTGCCATTAACAAACTTCGAGAAGGTGCAGCAAGAAAGAACAGACAGGAATTACTCTGGTACCATGACTGCATGACATTGCAGAAGCATACGCAGAACAGAAAGATAGCAAATGAGAGCAAAGTAAGATTGTATTTCATTTCTTTCATCCGTACATGCTTCTAAACTAATTTTAATTTTACAATGTTTGACCACTAACATCCCTTAACTAACTTAACTGTCTTTAAGCCAGAAAATTTTCCATTAATCTTCACTAATTTGTGGCAAGGCATTCATCATCGAAGGTTCCTTTTTCATTCCACATCTTGAAGTCATTTGAAATTTATTACAGCATGCACTTCCTCTGACATCAATTTTGAGCAGAGGAATCTTGAGCATGCTCACTCAATCAGTGGAATGTTGAGCAAAGTTTCACAGCCAGGAATCTTTCACATTCTCTCATGGACATTAGGAGGGCTGTATGGTTTCCCAGTCTATTGAAATGCACATTAGGACTTGGCTAGACCTGTTCTTATTTTCTTTGTTTCTGTTAAGTTTTAGTTTTCCCTTGTTCTTCATCAAAAGGGAAAAAGAAAAGAACATGACATTTCATTTTTGTTGAATAAGCATAATTATGCAAGAAAAGAATTTGGGAAATTGTTTTGGTTTAATTATATTACTTGATTAAAATATAATAAACATACAAGTCTTTGATGATAATATAATATGATAAATAAATCATAAGTTTACAGTGGAATTCTTCATTAATTTTGAATTGACTTTTTGACTGTCAAATTAAATTTGATGGGATGGTTCTTAAAACTAACAGTATTAATGTGTACTGTTAAAATTTGATATGAATGATTCATAATTACATAGGAATCATTCACAATGAAGAGAAAATGCAGTTGAAAGGAACCAATCCGTGGGCTGAAGTCTTGCAATTTGCTGGTGTCATTTCCTAATGTAGATGAATAGTTATTGAAAGTTCTGCAGCTAATAATGTTAGATGGATAGGAGCTAACCATCCGTTGAGAACAAAAGATCAATGAGGTAAGGAGTGTGATTTACTACTGGGATATCAAAGTGAGTTAAACGCCACGCAAGATTATCCATGTTAATTTCCTGGTTAAGGAAGCCTATCATCAGAATGAGGACATGCCTATTCTTCAGAATCCCCAACTCAGTTTTTTTTTTTTTTTTTAATTTTCTACAATTAAACACAAGCACACAAACATATTAACACCAAGCTAAAGCTTGGGACTTCATCCAAGCATGATGAATGGCGCTACTACGAGGACAACTTGGTGTTGATCCCACCTCATTGTTATACTCTTGAAAATGGATAAAGATGGATCAATTTAATTGTTCTCTTGTTTTTATTTGTATTTTAATTTCCAAGCTGTGAATTTGCCTTTTCATTCAAGGAAAATGAATTGCTATTGAAGGTGTTGGCCTTAGTTTGGGCCAAAAAAAAAAAACTAGGGTCCACCTTGGCTCATGTTTAGCTATCCAATAGAAAAAAATTGGCACCGAGATAGGAGTGGAGAGAAAAGATTTTTAATGATCCCTTATTTAGTTTAAGAGAGGAAGAGAAGGAAGCAATGATTAATTTATTATTCTACCCTTATATATTATTTTTATTTATGTTATATAAATTAATTTACCCCTTAATTCAAACTGCATAATTTATTACAATTCATTCTCATTCCAACACATTGTCAATACATGTAAAATACTGATATAATGATTTTTTTATTTCTAATTAATATAACAATATATTTTAAAACTTGGAATATCACAAAAATCATAAAGGCAAATTATTTAAAATTAGTTTGCTTTGGAGAAGTTTATTTTTATTTTTCTCATGAGCATTGATAAAATATTACAAATATCATAAGAACAAAATAGTCAATAAATTTGACTCACCTCTGGAAGGACCCAAAATGAGGGACTCCCCTCCAAAAAATTTTAACCAAATACTCCTCTTCTCCAACCAAATACGCCCTAAAAAAGTCAACTTAACTCGGTCAACAATACTCTCGTGTAGGAATTCTCTTCCTCTCCCATTGAACTTCAAACTCATCACTAATCAGAACACATGAAGCTTCCCTTCAAGTTTTCTGCAATTTCTCAATCACTCCGTTCTTGCCAACAAAGCATGTCTTCACGAAACTGCCTTTGAGCATATCCCAACATGTGGGGTAAAGCATTTGCTTCCTTGAGCCACCAATTGGACAGAAATTCATTATAAATCAAAAATTTTTCAAACACGTGCACAGGCATGGACTTTCATAGTTACATATAAACACGTACAATAAATGCTAAGAGAGAAAAAATACATGCTATAAATACAATTCAGACAACTATTCTGCCCTGTTGCAATCCCCGCTATATTCTTCAATCAGCAGGGCTGGACAATCGGTTAAGTCTAGAAGGCATACCTCTTGCATAGCCACAATTTTCCTTGGTCACTGTGAAATACAATCGTTCATATGGGTGAAACAACATTCTTCTACCCCTACTCTATTTTGCATTTCTTGTCTAAGATTAACGCTTTTCCTCAAACATTCTCTGCACCATTGAGCCACATCAATGTCACACATGCAAGAAAAATCTGTTAAATAGTTTTCTTGCCCATTCTGACTTTTGTGGCACCTTGGAAAAGGATGTCACTGTACTACTTAGATCTTACTCTAATAATTCCTTCTACAAAACTGATGTTTTATTTATTCCCCGTTCCCCCGAAACTCTTATAACTTTAGTTGTATAACTTATTTTATCAAAAAAAGAAAAAAGGTTGGCCAAGAAAAAAGGACTCCACGGTGCTCAAAAGAGAGAGAACGCGTATAAAAGTAACACTTCAGGCTTATTCTGATTTGAAGTCAACTCAAACCAGTCAACAATGTAGTTTTCAAATTGCCTTCCTCACCAATTTTGAAAAATTTGCCACACTCATGTATATATGTGTGGGTGTGTGTCAGAGAACAATACCAATGCAACCCATCTCTGGTCTGAAGTCATGAAGCTTCCTTCATTTCACATTCTACTGCTCCTGTTTGTGCTTTCTCAATCCCTCCATTGTTGCTGCCAACCTGACCCGGTCACCGACGCACAATGCACTTTCAACGAGACAACAAAATTAGGATACAAGTGCAACGGCTTCCAAAATTCATGCACCTCCTACGTTGCTTACAGATCCAATCCTCGCTATAATACCGCTCTAACCATTGCCAATCTTCTTGACTCCGATGCATCATCCATAGCTTCCCTCAACAACCTATCAAGCAACACCAAGCACATTCCTTCTAATCAAATCGTTGTTGTTCCAATTGATTGTTCCTGTTTGGGTGTTATCTACCAGCATCCCGTTTCTTATGCGGTGCAGAAAGGTGACACCTACTATGAGTTGACCGTATTTTCTTATCAAAACCTCTCCATTTGCCAGATGATAGTCCGGCAAAATTACGGATTTGACGCCCTCAACCTCACTATTGGTGATGAAATTTCAGTTCCCGTCTTATGCGCTTGCCCCACCACTGACCAGATCGCAGATGGGGTTTACTCCCTGCTGGTTCTCCCGGTTAACCCTGGGGATTCACTCGAGTCAATCGCAGAGGACTATGGTACGAATCCACAGACTCTGATGACTGCTAACCAGTTGCATTCGAACACTACTATCAATATCTCCACAACTCTCTTAGTTCCCCTCAAACCCTCCTCTTGTAAACTCAATCCGCATTTATTCTACTGCACCTGCTCATTCTCCGAGAAATACGATCCAGATTCAAGTTCCAACACTCTCAATTGTGATCATATTCAACCTGATCCTGATCCTGATCCTGATCGTTTCCCCGTCAAATTGGTTGCTTCCCTAGGTAATCTCTTTTAAATTTGGGCAAATTAAGTAGCATCATTTTTAATTAGGTTCCTGTACTTCTTTCTTAATTGGGTCCTTATAGTTTCCTTAATTAAAAGTATTAGCCCCTGTACTCATAACGTAGGAGAAAGAGCATTAGCATGATGTCACTCTCAACCTGCATACAACTTGATTGATTTTGCCACATGAATCTAAATAAAATTAAAATCAACTAAATTAGATTATAGATTACAAATGGTACAAGAATACAATTATGAGCATAACAATTTTTTTCTTTCTATGTTGATAATAAAAAAATTATTTCATCATTTTATTTAAAAAAACTTTTTAGTCTATATTTTTGTAGCAACTTCTATACCCCTTTTAGTCCCTATTATGGGACCCTTTGTAGAAGGAATATGTTGTCATTTTTATAAGACCCTCTAATAGTATTAATAAGCATTAAATATTCTTTTCTTATATGCCCATATTCAATAAGAATAGTAGGAGTATGATTAATATGATTTTGGAAGTTAGCGTAATTAATTATGCTAATATTAGAAATCAATTGAATTTTATGATAAGTTTAATACTTTTGACTATTTTTATTTATATGTGTAAATTAATTAGAAGGTTTTTATAATAAGAACTAGAGAGACAATTGCTTAGTTAGTATCCACATGAGCCCTAATTAATAGATTACGAGCCCTGATTAATAGCATCCACTGATTAGAGGTGAAAATAAGCCAGACTTTATCCTAAACAGGTCATGCCTGTTTAGTAACAAGCTAGTCTGAGCTTGGTCTGTAGCCTGTTATAGGCTTTTTTACAACCTTAGCCTGATCTATGCAAAGGCCTGGCCTAGCCTGAGTCTGTTAAAAAAGCCTGTAATTTTAAAAATTTCAAAATGCGTAATAAAAAATACATAGGCTAATAAAAAAAAAAGTAAAATGTACATACTACATAATAATAATTTTTTATTATTATATTTTATTTAAATTTTAATGTCATAAGTAATATTTTAAACTTTAATTACGATTAATATTATCAAAAATAAGTTACAAGTATATATTAAAATTTGAAATAAAACTATATATAAGTACAAAATTAAAATTTTAATTAAGATAAATAAACAGGTCAGGCCAGGCCTAATAGGATTAACATCTTTGGAAAGAGCCTAGACCTAGCCTTTTAAGCTAAACAAGTCATCAAAGAGGCCAGGGTTTTTTTCTATTTAGAAACAAGTCAGGCTATAGACTCTTGACATATCATCCAGCCTATTTCCACTCCTTTTACTGATGCCTATAATTAAGAAATTGTAAACTATAGGGACCTAATTAAAAATTTAGTAAAATTATATGAACTAACAAGTTAGTTGGCCCTTTAAATTCTGAACAAACAATCACATCTGTTTAAAATTTTAAATGAAGTTGAATTCAAATAACAACAACCCAAATTAAAAGGAAACTGTCGGATTTGTTTTTTAAACCAACACTCAAGAGTACCCTTGCGCCAAGACCACAACGAAGATGTCCAAGCCGACTATTGGCTCCAAGATAACCTTCTTTGTTTAAGTAGCAAATAAAATCAAAAACTTGATAAATTGTGGAGTTTATTTTTCGAGGATGGTTGATGAAACTATGCAATGTACTGTAATTGGGATGATCACTTTTCGCAGAACTCATACTTTCAAGGTACCTTATCTTTTGTCTGCAAACATAGAATTACTCCATTGCACTTTTGATCATGTCCTTACAGGTGTTGGCGTTGGTGTTGGCCTGCTAAGCTTATTTCTGTTGGGTCGCAAGTTATATCAATGCCTAAAACAAAAGCAAGAAAGAGCTCGCAAGGAAAAATTGTTCAAGCAAAATGGGGGCCTCCTACTGCAAGAAAAGATGTCATCTTACGAAAATGGAGACAGAGCAAGACTTTTTACGGCAGAAGAGTTGGAACGAGCAACAGATAACTACAACCGAAGTAGGTTTCTTGGTCAAGGTGGGTTTGGAACTGTTTATAAGGGAATGTTACCAGAAGGTACCATTGTTGCAGTCAAGAAGGCGAAAGAAATTGTGAGAAGCCAAATTGAGACTTTCATTAATGAAGTGGTGATTCTATCCCAAATAAACCATAGGAACATCGTCAAACTATTGGGGTGGTGCCTAGAGACTGAAGCGCCATTATTAGTATATGAATTTATTCCCAGTGGAGCACTTTCTCACCACATCCATAACCAGGAACTTGAAGGAAAGCTTTCATGGGACATCCGCCTCAGAATTGCTTGTGAGGTTGCTGGGGCAGTGGCCTATATGCATTCTGCGGCTTCCATTCCTGTCTTTCATAGAGACATCAAGACTTCCAACATACTCCTGGATCACAAGTACAGTGCCAAAATATCTGATTTTGGGACTTCAAGATCAGTCCCAAATGATAGGACTCACTTAACCACAGTGGTACAAGGCACTTTTGGATACCTTGATCCTGAATACTTCCAGTCCAGTCAATTTACAGATAAAAGTGATGTATACAGTTTCGGGGTTGTACTTATAGAGCTCATTACTGGAAGGAAACCGATTACCTTCTCTGAAGAAGATCAAGGTCAGAACCTTGTCTCAGAATTTATTGCTTTGATGAAGAAGGACCAAGTTTTTGAGATTTTAGATGCCAGAGTTGTGCATGAAGCAAGGAAAGATGATATTCTTAGTATTGTGAATCTAGCAAAGAGATGTGTGAAGCTCAATGGGAAGAAGAGACCCACAATGCGAGAGGTTTCAGCAGAGCTAGAAGGAGTGAGAAAAACACAAAATTCTTTACAGATCACTCGTTGTTCTCTTGAGTTTCCACAAGATAAAAAATCAGCTATGCATGCAACTCCTGATTCAGACCAAGAATCCACAGAAGAAAGCATGTCACTAATGTTCCAAATAGACTCCACGCCCATCTGAAAGTGATGCAGACACCAACTACATTTTTAGTCAGTGGGATTGTGCCATTGACAAACTTTAATAAAGTGCAGCAAGAACGAAGAGACAGGAAATTTGGTTTGCTCTGATACTGTTAGTTACAGAAGCATGCAGAACAGAAAGATAGGAGATAAGAGAAAAGTAAGATTAAATTTCATTTCTTTCATGTAGAGTACGTGCTCAGATATATGGTACTTAAATCTACTTTTACAATGCTTGACCGCCAACATCCCTTAACTAACTAACTGTCTTAAAGAACATGCTCCTAGGTACCTGACTAACTCATGGATCAACTAATGCCCTCCATTAATCTTCACCAACTTCCGGCATGGCATTCTTTATGGAAGGTTCACTACCCATTTCACATCCTCGTAGTCGTTTGAAAATTATTACAGCATGCACTTCCTCTGACATCCACTCTCCACACCCACATTACAAAAACAAACTCCTAGCGACAGTGTTCTAATGACAGTTATGTCAATCACGGTTAGAACATTATCATTATAATGGTTAAGACATCCTAATGATATTTTATTGAGAAAACTAATTGACTAGCCTCTTTACTTTGCACCTTTTTTTTTCCCAAAGAGGTCCTTATACTTCAAAAACATATAAATTAGTCCCTATTATTATTATCTCTATTTGCCTCGTTAATCCCCATCGTTTATGAAATTCTAACAACTCGTCCCTGCCTCCTCCACATGGCAGTGACAGCATGAAAGGGGATGGCAAAAGACTCAATGTGGTGTATAAATTACTACATGATGGGACAATGTCAATCTTAACATGTCTAGTATACAAACATGCATCTCTTTTTATGAATGTAGACTACTTGGATAATCAAATTTCATTATTTAAGGAAAGGGAAAACCATATTGGAGGTACCTATACTTTCTCTTAATTTTTAATTTAGTACCTATGTGTTTTTTTCCCTTTAATTAAACATTTAATTTTATCTTTTTAGCAACATTAGCTCTTATAACTTTGTTCTATTGATATTTTTTGTCTCTACATAAGGATTAATGATGTTAATAGAGCAAAATTAAAGATTTAGTTAAGGACAAAAAACACATAGGTACCAAATTAAAAATTGAGAGAAAGTATAGGTACCTCCAATATGATTTTCCCTTTAAGGAAAAAAGGCAAACTAACCAATAATACGAAATATGAATCAGAATGCATATTGATTTTGTTAGTTTTTCTCGCATTCTCAATAGTTGAAAACCCGAATCCAACCAGTGAAATCATTCACATGTTTATCAACAGTCCACTGTCCACTTTCACTAAAAGATTTGCATAACCGGTGGATGTGCTACAAGTTGACAATCACACAAAAAGTAGCTAAGGGGCTAGGGTTTACAAAAACAGTCAAATTTCTAGAAAGAATCATACATACCATAAGTTGGGGTGAAAAATTACCTTTTTTTTTCAATTTGATTTTTAAAAAAGTTAAATCAGATAAAAATTAAATTAAATTAACTAATAAGAGTTAGTCTGCTTGATAAGGAGTTGGCTTATTCAAATCTCATTGTAGATGTGAGCGATGTATAAATACTTTTATAAAAAATTATTTGGCTTATAATCGAATATGTAAATTTTGTTAGTAAACTTATAAAAATTGATACTACTTTTATTAAATAATAAAAGAATATAATAGTTTTAAATTATTTTAATAGGAAGAACTTAAATTTAATGAATAAAAAATTATTTGTGAATATTAAATGAAAAATAATTTTTTATAAAAAATTATTTGGGTTATAATTGAATATGTAAATTTTGCTAGTAAACTTATCAAAATTGATACTACTTTTATTAAATAATAAAAGAATATAATAGTTTTAAATTATTTTAATAGGAAGAACTTAAATTTAATGAATAAAAAATTATTTGTGAATATTAAATGAAAAACAATTTTAGAAAATTAAAAATTATTTATGTATATATCAAGTGTACGTAAAGAGCAAATACTAAATTATAAAGTGAAAGCCTACTAATTTAAAGATCAACTCGAAGAGACCAATCTCTCAGGATACTATCAGGTGTCGTAGCGGTACCCCTTCTAACAGTTTTTTTTTCTATACATACCGCCCTAAAAATCGAACCTAAGATATGATGTTTAAGATGTCCAAGTGTCTTTCTTTTTTTTTTTTTGGGTACAAAAGTTCTTTCTATTTAGACTAACGCCTGTTGGAAAATTTCTCTATTATTGGCACTATACATAGAAAAAGCCCAATATCTGGTAAGATATATATATATACAGCCCAATGGCTCAATACCATCGACCTAGCTCAATGACTCAACACCATCGACCTGCCTTTGCTCTGTTTTTTTCTTCTACATTTTTTCGTTCTCTCTCATTCCACAAGAACAACAAACAAAACAAGCAAAATATCATAAAAGAATCAAACACAAACATGCTAAAAGAATGCAGCGTAAATAATAGGCAAATGGCTATTCAAATGTGCTATTTAAAATATCAAATCAAGTGGTCATTCAAAATTGTTTCCCCAAATGGCTATGCGTATGCTTCCCCATCGGAATAGCTTCAGATGTTCAAAAGATCAGACAAAACCTATCAAACATCCGATAGGGGTAGTGACAGCTCTGAGTACGGCTTGTTGGAGACGTCGATCGCGACTTCGACAGAGGAGCACAAATCGGACAAGACGAGAAGTGAAAGAATGGCGAGCACAGATCGACCGCATCTTCCCCGCAGTGAGCACAAACTGGCAACGGCGACCAAAACTTCCAGCGAAGCTACGGAGGAGAGGAGATGAGCTCGAAATTGGCAGGGAGAGTGAGGGAGAAGCGTGAGACAAAATGAGGGAGAAGACAGAGAACACCAACCACTATAAGCAGAGTTAATAAGCTCATAAGCAGCTCTGAAATGCTTAAGGGAATCGTGCATCTAAATTTAACTTTTGGCCCTCTGAAATGCTTAAGTGCATGTTTGGATTGCCCCATTTCTAGCAGCAAAAGTTTCTTAGAAATAGTAAAACTGATGTTACGAACTGAATTGAACAAAAAACGTTATTTGGCTGGACTAACTTTTTCAACCAACTTCTGTCCTTTAATTTCAGTTGAACTCAGTGGAGGAAAATCTAATTTTTCAAACTGCAGTTTCAAACGGTGATCATTAAAAATGAGCATTCTAGATTTACCCTCATATTTTTCTTTCTGTCTCATCTCCTTTATTAGCATAATGAGTTTTTATTCATGCCAAATAAATTTTAATTTATATTCATGTTTGTCCATTATATATATTTAATTAATTACATACAATGTGTTTTCAAATTTATCTACAATATGTTTTCAAATTTTTCTCCGTAACAATATTTTTTTAATAATTTCACAAATAAACTATTTATATTTTATTATAATAATTTTATGTATTTTTTTAAACTATTATCACATTAAAAATATAAAATTTCAAACACTACTATTCAATAAAGTTCATGTCCTTTTCAATCATTTTATAACTAAATTAACTTTTCTATTAATCATCCAAACAACTTTTAACTTGTTCAACTGACTTTTTAAAAGCACATATCCAAATATACCTTAACTGACTTTTACTCTAATTTCAATTACAAAACTTAGTTGGAGTAGAAGTCGATGTTACCTAATACCAATTCAAACATATCTTAAGGGAATCGTGCATCTAAATTTAACTTTTGGCCCATAAGTAGGATGAACCAAAAGGTCAACAAAACAGACTCAAAATTGCTAAACGTGCTTTTGAGCTTAAATGACGACCTTTTGAACCCCATAAACCGCTAAGCCAAACAGACTTGAAGCCTTGTCGCCCATTAGCCATCAAGGTCATTTGCTATGTCAAGGCTTTCTCTCAGGGGACCAAGAGACACTGTGGTTTGCTTGAATGGTGTGATTGCATGGCTTTTAATCCCACGTGTCAGTGAGAGGCACTTCCAGCTCAGCAAATTCTTAGTGAGATTTGGAGAGTGTTTAAATAAAAACCAAATCATAATTTTAAAAGTACTTTTACAGTATACGAAATAAATATATGGAGGAGTTTGTCTTGTTTTACGAAAAAATACTTTTCAAAAATACTTTTTGAGTTGACCAAACACCCCCTTAATCTTGATCCTATATTTTTAATAGGTTTTAATTTTGCTTTGTACTTTATATTTTTAATGGGTTTTTATTTTTGTTCTTATATTTACCTGTATTAACAAATCCAAATCCTTATAAAACTATAAAGACCATTTATATTCAAAATATTATAAGACAATTTGAAATTAAAATATTTTTAATATTATACCCTCGTGGCTAATGCAAAATTTGAAATAAATTATAAAAATAATTAAGAAAAAAACAATTATAGAAATTAAGTTATACAACTTTTTAAGAATTTATTAACTTTTTTAGTTTATTTACAAGTACTCCTCCGATCCTTAATATAAAACCTATTTAACTAATTTGATTAGATTAAGGAAGTTAGGTAAGTTAGTTAATTATAAGAAATATGACACGTTTGTCCTAAAACACCATAATCATCTTTCTTAATACCCCCTTCTCTCTTCTACTTGATTATGGTTGAGGAGTATCCATAGGGGTAATTTAGAGAAAACTGATAAATATGAGAAATTGGTTTTATATTTAAGACCAAAACCAACTTAATAATTAGGTCTTATACCAAGGATCAAGAAGTAATTAAAATACTGTCTATTTGATGAAACTAGCACACATAGGTTGCTTCCATAAACTGGGGGGGGGGTAAGGAAGGCAGGAAACTTTCTTTGAATAACAGCTAAAATTTTTTATCATCAGGCTTTTACGTTCTCAATTACTATGCAGGAGCCAATTCATCATTCGAAAGCCATGGCTTCCTTAAGTTGTTTCCTTCAAGTTCTACTGAGAATTAAGGATGTTGGCGTCATGTAGGACAACACAAAATATCTCATCATAAATGATGTCATCAATTTATTAAATCCTTTTGCCAAATTATATTGTCTGGTGAATAATACCTGTTATGCTAGGTTAGCTTCAATATATAGGGTGTCTAGTTTCATATGCGAGCCATCAGTGTGCCTAGGTCATTGGCTGGGATAGAGTATTAAACATGTCAGAACCTTTCCAAGCATGTGCAAATGGCTAGTTGTTACCGACAAGCAACTGGGTTCTGTGTGACTAGCTAGTTTTTCTGCTCTTGGTTTGTGGGTGAGTACAATCCCATGCCTTCAAAAAATTCACAGAAAGAAGAAGTTGTTTGGGAGGAATAGAATGTGTGTTGCGGCAAAACAAGCTGCCGCAAATCATTTATTTATTCAAAGCCCTTTGATTTTGCAGTTGTAATGTATTTTAGTTTGCATCTCTTTGATTTCTCTGGATTGATCAATTTTGGTTAACCATTGAATATTGATGCATCGTTGTAAACTTGATCCAAAATGTGGTATGTTAGTATCAAGGGCTTTAGCAATCTCCACGCGTGCCAAAGCCATCCAGTTTGCTCTCGACCACAAAGTTTATTTGTGACTGGCAATTCTCTTGGTTTAAAAATTAAGAGACGTAACACTACACAAAAGAAGCATTGCATTACCAACTTTTGCAGTTTCAAGCAACTTTATCATCAATTTTACAATTCCCAAGAATGATTTTAGAGTTCCTCAAGTAGATTTAAAGCTATGTTTGGTTTCACATTAGAGAAAATAAAGTACTTTCATCAAAACCGTGTTTAGATAACTTTCAACCCAAAATCAAATTCTGCACTTGCATTCCGTCAGGGGAGTATGATCTTGAAGCATATGTGATCATATCACCCTCCACGAGGTCAAATGGAAAGAGGACCTCATAGTGTGGAGTGTTGATTATTTCTTTGGGTTTAAGACTTTTCATACTACTAAAATAAAGTGAGATAAAACCTCTAAACTCCAGGTTGATGTCACCCTCTACATTTTCAAACACTTTTAATCCCAATTGTAAATCCCTGCCTGCCCTATCCCAAAATGTCCTCTGCCAAGTTACACATTGCCTTCTTTATATAAACAGCCGTCCTCCATTTCCTTCTGAATTCCTCCGCAGCAATTGGTAATTACAATGAGGAAGCCCCATTCAACTCAAGCCTTGTCAAGTTGGAAAAGGGCATTGGGGTGAATTGAGCGGTATGGAGAGGTGAGAAGTCATTGAAAGCGATGGAAGCAACTCAACAAGGGAGCAATAGGCAGAAGTGCGTGTAGGTAAATTTCTCGAGTTAAACAAGTCTCAAATCAGCTTACAATTTTCTGTCATTTCAATATTTTAGAATATGGGTTTGGGCTTTCCCTCTTTTAAAGGGATTTTTGTGTGTTATCCATATACAACTACTCCTTCGGTCTTAAATATTAAGACTCTTTTCGAAGTGTAAATTACACTATAAAAAGAGTCATATATTTAGAACCGGAAGAATACCTTTTTTTTTATCAGTGTAGAGGATCTGATTGGCAATAAAAGGTGGATAGATAATAACTTCCTTACTGAAATATCAAGCACAAACCATCCACATGCCCAAGATGAAGAAACTAAAATGATCAATTAAATATTTCATTCCTCCTATAGATCATGCTAGAACCTAAAAGACCTTAAATACTGAAATAAGGTAGGCAAAAGCCCTTTCATCACCTCCTCCATAATGATGAAGTACAGTTGTTTGGGATTGGGCGCATATGGTGAAGGGCAAGGAAAAAAGACAGAAACAAAGTAAAATGATAATTGTAGAATTGGCAATGCCATATCTGGAGTTTGCTAACCAGCAAACAAATAATTTTCTCACTGTTTTCTCACTCATGTCTGCGGATGAGAAAATAAAAACCAGAGAAGTTCCCAGCAACTTCGCCACTTGTATATAACAATTGCCATGTCTCCAGGAAATATATCTCTGATCAAGATGTCCCAATTTCTCTCTAGGCCAATATAGTCAATACCCATTGATCTGAGGTCTCGCAGGAGGGCCAACAAGCCGTGAAAATGGGATCCGTGCGCGGCCACCGTTCAGACCCCTTTGACTGGAAAACCGATCATCTGCTTTCGGATCAGAGATGGATCTGGAGAATGCTTGGGCAAGTTCAACTGCTGAAGCTGCTTTATTGTGCCGCATACCCATGTCAGAAGATGATTTTGACTCCTCAACAGGCTTACGCCATGTCTCAGGCGAAGGCTGCCTCTCAGAGACCTGCTGCCTTTCAGTCTCCCTCATGTTCCTTCGATTATCACCACGCCAATTCCTCCTCTGCCCATTGCCCCTCTCAGCTTCCACCCTTTGCTCCTTCTTTTCCGGCCTTTTTATGGCCCTTTGATCATGAAGGGTATTCTGGGTTTTCTCAACATGGGTTGACCGATCTGGAACATTCTCAGCCCTCCCAATATTATATTCAACCCTATTAACAAAAGAAGAAAAAGCAAAAGAAAAACCTACGTCTGAATTTGATCCCCATTAAAGACAAATGAATTACAATCAGACGCAAAACAACGACCTACCTATTTGAATGTTCAGCCACATCATAATCCTTAATGGCAACATTATCAATCCCTCGCTCCTTCAGAACCTGGGAAACAAATCGTGGACATAATCAAGATGAAAAATATGAAGCCAAAAAAAAAAAAAAAAAACAAAAGAACCATCATCAATCACTAACATTGACAAAACAGCAAAAATGTTTAGGCAAATAAATGACAGCAGAAAGAATTTCAGTTAAGAAAATAAAAATTGCATTTTGAAGGAGTAAGCAGTGAAAATATGTCATCCTGAATTTGGATCCCCCTGAAGTACTTCATAAAATGAAGTAGAGAGAGATAGAAACAAAAGAATGGGTTCCACTTATATGGCTTCATATGTGCAAAAGTGGGATCCATCATTTTGTTTCCATCTCTCTATTCCACCATGGTGAAGTACTTTAGAAGATCCAAATTCATACTATGTAACCTGTCCAAAACCAAAATAAACATAAACAGTTTTTAACTAATTCAGAAGATATAAAGACTAGCCACCTCAAAGGAGTTCAAGTGATAAGAGTAAGATGCGGTATGGTTAGTGAGTGACATCGCTCAAAACCCTCTTGATGTAACCAAAAAATATAATAAAAAAACTTAACTAACCAGTTCTCGAGGTCGAGCACCACCAAATAAAGCATTCCTGAATGATTTGCAACAATTTCATAATTAGACAAAAAGCAATAATAAATTAAACATAGCGAAAGCAAAACTTTTAGTTCACAGACTTTCCCCAAATTTGCAATTTGATCCGTGTTTTGATTGGTATCAAACCAATCCTTCAAGTTTCAAATACCTATTTATCTAATCCTTGTCGTGCTGAGCATTAATAAAATAGAAAATTAACAATGTCGTTATGCTTGTATTAACTATGAAAATATTATGTTACTAGATAAGGTTATGGATGTCATGACATAATAACAATTATCAGTATCAAGCATAAGGATAAAATCCATATAAGCATTTGGAACACAGAAGGTAGCAACACATAAGACAACAAATCATGTGAAATTACTGAATAAAAAACAAACAAGAAGAAAGCCCAGGATACTATTAAGTTCAACATGATCATTTCTTCCTTCACCACCTGGTGACAAGATGACATAACTCAGGGTAAAATATAGATCAAAATATCATAAGAGGATAAAAAAAAAATGAAGATGATAAAAAATAAAGGGAATTTAAAAAAAAAAGTCTAAATTATAGATGGTAGAGTTAATAAAAATACAATCTATAAGGAGTATTCAAAAAAATCTGACCTGCAGATTCAAGTGCCAGAACCAGACAACAAAAACTGATGAAAGCTTACAAACACTGCTGTAAGCCCATAGTGCCTAAAGGATGGGGCTTGTAATGATAATCAATGACACTAAGCTTGACATATATGTTAAGGGGCCAAAAAATATAATGCATATGTAACCCAGGAAATGCGAGAGAAGGAGGCACATGACATTCGGATGGGGCCCACTGGGAAAGAGTATATAGTGATGTGCCAAATGCAAAAGTGCAGGGATAAGGATCCATTTACAGGCATGCATAAGATCTTGACATGCACAAAATCCACATTAATTGTTTTACTTAGAGAAAAAAAATTAGTTGGAAGTTGAAACCATAACATGCATTTTAGTTTTAAGGAATATAAAAAAAAATTAATTGTGGCAGATTTTGTGATGACATTTTTATCATTCATCATTCAATCTTCGTAATTGGAAACCATAAAAGTGGAGTTTTAGGAAAACAAAAGTCCAACAACAAAAAATAATAATCCCCTTTCTCAGTTATATCGATGCTTAAAATGGTATAATAACAGGTCTTCTAAATCTCTGTTACGATAGAAGGCAAAACAAATGATGAAAAATGACATCAACAAAAAAAGGTCACACTAGATGATTACATTGAGATATTTATCACTTTATTCAATTTTCACGCTACAGAAGTGTTTATGATGACTGCATGTAAAAAATAAAACATATTCCTCTTTATTAAAAATCCTTGTTAACATAATCAAGAAAAAGAGGGGGGGAAATCAACAGGTTTCATCAGGAATTTAGTTATTCATACTACTTGCAAAATCACGAGCAAAGAAAATGCTCTCTGAGCACCCTCTAAGTACCGTTAAGCACTCTTCTTCTGCCAAAAAGCAATTCGGACTCCTAAGCTATGCAGTTTGAAAGCAATTAAAAGACCAAACGACCAGACACTAAATTTCAAAGAACTTACAAGAATAATTAGAGTAGAGGACTACAGGCTAATAATGCACCTGACGTACTCACCAAAATAGACAATCACTTGTATTTTCAAATTAATTAACGCAATGTCATTAAATTCTCTTACAAAATTATGAACATCTTACAATTTGAAAAACTGCATCCTTACATCTTTAAATCCAAATGCAGTTCTTCCAACAATTAAAATAAGGTACATGACAATATTATGGTCTCTAGACCCACTGGAAATGTTTCCCAGAAGGCAGGTCACTTGCACACATGCAAAGAAATAGGCATATAGCAAAGTTAAAAATTTCCCAAACCACTACACCATTAACATTACCTCTCTCTATCAACATTTCCCTCCAACTGATCAAGAGGCTGGGACCGAGGCTTCAAATTCAGCTTTGGACGCTGTCCTACCTCCTTCCCAATCTCATTAAAAGTTGAGACAGGCTTCATTAGATTGGCATGGGCATGCACCTGATGAACAGTTTCAACATGCCCAGCATCACTAAATCGACCAGATCCCTTCAATAGAGAAATAAAAGAAATAGTTAAGTCCACTTTGTTATGCAGAAAAATGAAGTCCCTAAGTTGACCGCATGGATACCTGTAAATAATCATAAACAGGGGATTCTGGATTATCCAATGGTTTTGTCCCACTCCGAGGTATCAACTTCAATTTAGGTCGCTCTGTTGGTTCAGAAGGCACTGAATGTTGAAACTCGGACGCACAAAGTTTGCCATCCTGCTGAACAACATCAGTGTGATGAGCTATACCTCTTGGTCGTCCTTCTGAGTACTTGGAAGCCCCAGACCTCTCATAATCCAGTAACTCGTTTCTACCACCTTGCATCTGGTCACCGATAACAAGACCCTTTTCAGCCTGTCTTGCTAATATTACATCGTTATACACCTTTTCACCCAAATCATCAACCCTGCCGTAGGCATTATTACTGGTAACATTGCCATATGATGCACTCTCTACTTCAGATGATTTAACCACCTCAACGTCTGTCTGATGGTGGACTGTCTTCGACTGCCATCTACCAGAAGACACCTTATCAATAGCACTTGCATGAGCCAACTTGGAAACTGCATTAGGACTGGACCAAGCAGAATGCTCTGGCTCAACAGCACTGGCCACCTCCTTCCTCATTGCCCATACATTTGGGTAAACTCCGCCAGTTCCCTGCTCCTGACTACCTCCTCCAACATGCTGAGAGCTCCCCCTCACATGAATTGCCTCAGTAAGCCTAGCGGAGTAGGAATTCACAGTGCCAAAAGAATTTTGAGACACTGGAGCTACTTGCCGACTCAAGGAACTTCTTCCCACTCCAGACTCAGGCTTCATTTCAACACGAGAAGGTGGAGCCCGAACGCTGTCATCACTGACTGTTCTCCGAGGGGCTGAGATACCATCCAGTGGCTTACGCTCATCTTCATCAAAATTCCGGCCAATTTGAGCAGCGTGGGTGAGAAACGGGGTTTTATCATCGTAATGCATAGTAGCCGGAGACGTTTGTGGGCGAGACCGATGATCGGACCGAACCATAGGATTTCCCCATGAGGAGGGTCGGTCATACACAGAACGATCAGAAGTTCTGCCGGTTCTGTAAAATTAGGTTAAAAAGTCAGAAACGGTTTTCCACATACAAATTCGTAAATTGATGGAAAAATATTAACCTAAAGCATTAATAAAGTATAAACAATCACACCCAACAGATCCAATTTCCCTCAAATACCATAATAATCCAAGCATTTAGTACAAGAGCATCAATGGAGATAGTCCATATAACCCATTTATGGATAATCTCACAAACATAAGAAAAAAAATTGCGAATTTGAATCAAGAAGATCAAACAAAGGGAAAGCGCAATAAAGGGCACTTACACGCCGGGCGCGGAAGGGAGAGGGAGATCAGTGGGAATCGAACCTCCATGGAAGTCTTTGAGGGTCATGGTGTTGCCACTAGCCTTCTTCTTCGACATTCTCTCCCCCTCCCTCTTGCCCACCGCCTCTCAAGAACAACGAATTCGGCGCCTGATTCTTCAACCAACGCTCTTCTTCTCGTCAAGACTTCCGAAGACGCGAAGCGCGGAGAGGGCGAGGAGTGGAGAACACCCCCGCAAGTGCAAGGAAGGGGATCACAAGAAGGAACCGAGCACACAAGAATAGAGGCGCAGAGACCTCGCTTTTGCTTTTGGCTTCGACTATGTCTGCGAGCGAACTCACGGGGCTCAGGGTACCGTGGGACAACGAGATTTGATTCTCTGCCAATTAAGGCACTTCAAAGCGGCCTCTTTTTTTTTTTTTTTTTCTTTTCTGTGATATCAACCAACTTATCATATAAAATCTCGCCACTTCATCAAAGAAGCCGAGATTCTCACGTTATTACAATATTATACTCCTCCGGTCCTAATTATAAGACCCAATTGACTTATTTGAGGAGATTAAGAAAGTAAGTTAAGTTGGTTATTTATAATAAATAAGTGTTGTTATTCCTAAAATATCCTTGCTAATTAAGTATATTGGCTAAAACTATCATTATTAGAAGGATTATCTTGGAAAAAAATATATAAATATAAGAGAGAAAATGGATTGGGTCTTATAATTAGGACCAAATAAAAAGTCAAATTGGGTATTATAATAAGGACCGAATGAGTATTATATTTTTTATTAAGTCACATTATCATTTTTAGACAATGAGATTCGGGGAAAAAAAAAAATATTCCAGTGCTTAATATAGGACCTAATTATTAAGTTAGTTTTAATCTGAAATATAAAACTTATTTCTCACATTTATCAATTTTCTCTAAATTACCCTATAGATACTCTCTCAATCATAATTAACTAGAAGAGGAAGGAGGTATTAAAAAAGATGATTATAGTATTTTAGAAAAAATGTATCACTTTTCTTATAATTAACTAATTTACCTAACTTCCTTAATCTAATCAAATTAGTTAAATAGGTCTTATATTAAAGGTTGGAGGTGTACAAAACAAATTTCAGAAGTTATCATTTTATATGTAATAGTTATAAAGATTTTTTTTAGTAATTATTTCTTTTGTAATTCTCCCTTATTTTTAATATGTATATTATTCTTTTATTGCAGGTTCTTGAATTTTTTTTCAATTTGCTTGTGTAAATAATCTTGATGCTGAAAGAAGCAGTGCACAAAGTCATTTTCCCCGTGATGAAACAGAATTAATTAAAGTTATCTCAAACATGATCAAAGACATACACACACACACAAACACACATATCAAATATGCATGGATATATATGTGTGTGTAAATTAGGTTAAATTTTTTATATCCATTATGTTAAATTTCCCAATCATATATGGCCATATATCCTTTTATGTCTTATATGTATTCATTATTAAATATTATTAAATGCTAATATTTTAAAAATAGGTCACATAGTCATATGTAATTAGAAAACTTGATATAATGGATATAAGAAATTTGATGTAAGCATTATCTATACATATATAAATTATTTTGTGTACTAGTTTAGTGATAAATTTTACTTTCTGTAGTTTTTCTTTTTTTATTGGTACTTTTATGGTTTTAAACTTATGTATTTCCTTGTCTATTGAATAAAATATGAAACATAACTTGTCCCGTTCATAATTTATGGATAAAATTATTTTATTATATGCTACTTTCAGTCTTTAATACATATATATATATATATATAAAGTGGTTGGAGATTTAATTTAATTATAAATATAAGACATCAATTCACTTTATCTCCAATATTTATCTATTTTATCCTTAAATAATTTTTATGGTGATTATTTATGTTAAGATATTATTAAGAGGTAATTCAAATGCATATGATTATAAATATATCACAAAAGACAACATTTATTTATTATAAATAATTAATTTAATTAATTTTTTTAATATTCTTTGGACGGAAAATTCTCTATTCACAAATTATATATCTAGCTCTTATACTACTTCCGGTCATTAATAGAAGAAATAGTTCTAACTAAGACACATAATTAGCAATGATATTTTAGGAAAGATAATACCTGTTTATTACAAATAATTAACTTAACAAACTTCTTTAATCTACTCAAATTAATCAACTAACTCTTATATTAAGGATTAGAGGTATTATTAAGGAACCTCCTGTATTGATAATAGTCCATGACTGTTGCTGTTGGGAGTTAATATTTTTGAGAAGAAAACATCTATTTATTACAAAATAACTGATTTAATTAATTTTTTAATATTCTTTAGACCAAAAAATTTCTTAATATTCACAAATTACATATCTATTTCTTATATTATCTCTGGTTCTTAATATAAGAGATAATTCTAACTAATACACATAATTAGCAAGGACATTTTAGGAAAGATAATACATATTTATTATAAATAATTAACTTAACAAACTTCTTTAATCTACTCAAATTAGTTAACTAATTCTTATATTAAAGATCGAAAGTAGTAAGGAACCTCCTGTATTGATAATGGTACATGAATGTTGCTGTTGGGAGTTACTCCCTCCATTCCTTATTATAAGAGACAAATAACCAAATTACGCTGATCAAAAAAATAGTTAAAATTAGTTGAGGACAATTAATGTGTAAAAAGTATAATGTTTTTTCCAACAATACCCCTATTAATAAGGAGAGAGAGTATGAGAAAGAACAATTAAATTATTAAAAGAAAGAGAAGTGGGAGGGAGAGAGAGTATGAGTAGGAGACAAAATAAATAGGGGTAAAATAGGAAATCAATACAAAAAACTAGAGACAACTTTTAAGTGTCTCTTATATATGGGAACATGCCATAAGCATCAAGTGTCTCTTATAATAAGGAACAGAGGGAGTAATAGAGGGAATTTTACTCTTGGAAATTATAATGCACATTTGCGGCACATCCTAACATGATCTTTAGCATGTGTAATGGTGTTTGGGTAGAACCGGAAAAATAGGTCGAATCTATTGGGCAGGCTTGTTTAAGCCCGTTTAAATTAAGGATCGGGCTTGTATTTTGGAGTTTTAAAAAGAAAGTTGGGCTTAAAAAGGCCAACCCTGGTAGGGCTGAAAAATAAACGGGCCAACCCTGTTGGACTGCTGGCCGACCTGTTTAAGCCTGTCGATAATTTTTTTTTAAATTTCTATATTTTTTCTTAACTTAAAAAAAAATCCTAACATTTTACACATAACACATTTTTAATTTCACTAACCCCAACACTCACACATATAGCATTCACAAAAAAAAGGGATCACTATAGTTGTCGGGAATGCAGATACAGGTGTGCATGGCTGTCGTCAGCTCGTGCCGTAAGGTGTTGGGTTAAGTCCTGCTTGGAAAAATAATCAAAAAAACGTGAAAATTACAAAATTTAAAACTAGGTATATTAAAAAAAATGTATTGTTATTGTCAAAATCTATTAAAATATTGTATGTGTAATTTTTACGGTCTTTATTTGTCATTGTCCCATATTTTTTTAATGCGTGAAATTGAATTAATTAAAGAATATTTTGAATTAAAATAAAGATCTATATTATTTTTATAGGTAGAAACGAATTTAGAACTAGGGATGATGGACTCTTTTCTTTTTTGCTGGTAGAACGAATGATTATTCTTTATGTATACTATGTTTGTTAGCTAAACTTTTTTGCTAATTATTTATAATTAAACTAGATCATCCACATTATAATTATTTACTAAACTTAGTACTTATTTAGCTATTTATGTCTGTCTTATATTTAGTTTGTTTATTTAATAGACTATGTTACACTGTGATAAATGTTTAGATATAATGATATTTATGTTGTGACCTAATTTTATTTATATTTATGCTTTTTATTAGTAATTTTATTGTTTCATTTTTATTATTTTTATAAAATATACAAAAACAAAAACAAAAAATTTTATTTTAGTTAAACAAGTCAAAAGTCTGTGGACCGGTCTGAGCCCGTCATCTCATGGACCGGGTTTGAAAAAATTACTTATTTCTAAAATTCAGGCTTAAACAGGGCAAACCTTGTGAGCCCGAGCCCATGACGGGCCGGCCCGTTTTCCTAGTGTTATGTTTGGATATGTTTTCAAGAAAATTATGATTTTGACTCTTATAATTTAAATTTTTCATAATGAATTATACTACTTCAAGTCCTTAATATATAACTCAGTGGACTAATTTGAAGAGATTAAAAAAATCACTAAGTTACTTATTACTTAATTATACCATATTAATACTTATATGTATCATTCGATCATATATCAATTTATAAGTGAGATAAATTAACTTGGATAAAAACAAAACTATAGATATTTCAAAGTAATTTAGTAACTTCATTGATATCTGCAAACTGATTAATTGGGTTTTATATTAAAAACTAGAAGTAGTATATGGTCAAACCTTTGTTTTGTTAAAAATGATCCAAACACCCCATATTCTAATGTAAAATGAGGCATGGCTGCCAAATTTTCCAATGTGCCAAACAAAATGATAGTCAGATGCTCATTGTTGTTCCTTAAATCTCGCCAAAAATATGCATATGAAGGTTTGATCTTTTGTACTGTAAATATGTTGTATAAAACTAAGGTCACATTTGATATCACGCATTGAGAATGTGAGGTAAGAATTAGGATTGTAATAAAAAAAAAACTCATTAAAATAGTATTTTATTACTTGATCAAGTAACAAGCAATTCCTCGTATACCAAACGCTCTTATAATAAATTTTTTCAATCTCAATCTTGATTATTATCTCTCATTCTCAATACTTCATACCAAACGTGACCTAATTGTTTAGCCTTCTCGATTAAAAAAAAAAAAAGGAAAGCTATAGAGCCATGAGATCATCAAAATATATGGCACATAGTTGTAGAAGAAAGAAGATGGGAGGTATCTGCAACCGCAAGCACTGTGACGAGAAGCAAAACTAGGTAGGATTCAGAGGGAAATTTCATGATAATATTCACTCTTCAAAATCCTGTTCAAGCACTCTTTGTTATTAAATATGAATATTTCTCCTAACAAGCATTCAAACCTTAGTTCTATACAAAGAACTAGTTCTTTTCGCTAGATTTAACTCTATTAGGGAGTGTTTGAGTAAGAACAAAACCACAGTTTCAGAAGTGTTTTTACGGTATACGAAGTAAATATGTGGAGAAGTTTACCTTAATTTGCAGAAAAATATTTCTAGAGTTACCCAAACACCCCTTAATTCTGAAACCCTTCCTGCTACTTCTCTGTTCTCTAATTAATACTTCATTTAAGCTCATATGCATAAGCCCAGTAATTACCTCTTCTAGCCCATTCTTTGCTACCGCATGATCTCAACCGTATTATTATTATGAAGCCTATTTATTATACTACTAGCTTATAATTTTAAACGGTTTTTAAAAGAATTGTTTTTAAGAAATCAAGTTGTGAGGTGCTCACCCCCTTAAATACGCCCAAGTGTCTAGCAAAGTCCATCACGGTATCATATCGCCCATGCACTTGTTTGGCTAGTTGACCTTTGATATTAACTAATTAACTAACTAATCATAACAGTTCGTTCCTTCTCGTGCATTCAGAATTCACTCTTTCCAAGAAACATAGCAAGCCGTTACAAAAATAAAAGCTGTGTGAATAAACAGTAGTAATAAATAATTTTATTTTCATATATTTTGTTGATTATTAATAAACTACTTTTCCGGTCTTTAATATAGGACCCAATTGTTGAGTTGGTTTTAATCTTAAATATAAGACCCATTTTTCATATTTATCAATTTTCTCTAAATTACCCCTATAAATACTCCCTCAACCATAATCAAGTAAAAGAGGGAGATAAGACATTAAGAAAGATGATTATAGTGTTTTAGGAAAAACGTGTCATATTTCTTATAATTAACTAACTTACCTAACTTTCTTAATCTAATCAAATTAGTTAAATGGATCTTATATTAAGAACTTGAAGAGTAATATTTACCATGAAATCTCAAAAAATAAAAGTTATACAACAGCGTGCAATAACAAGTTTTAAAATAAAAATATTGATAACTACTCAGTTGTGATTGACACTTTCGTTAATTTATTTTCTCTGAGGCTCTCATTGTAATTCTGCCATGATCAATTGATGCTATTTTGGGGTCTACCTTTGAAGTTTGAACGTTTCATGCATGGCAGGAAATAAGGCGCGCTTCCTTCTGATTCAAAACGCACTGCCGTTTCGGCAACTGAGCGGCTTTGAAAGTCGAAACCACACGAAACGACACCACTTGAGCCCTTTGCATTGAGGCCGATGCTTTGTTTGTCCGTACGGTTCTACGTCAACGACGCCTTGCTCTTCCTTCTCCCTCCCTCTCTCATTCATGGCTTCGCAAGGGAAGTTCTAACCCTGAGAGGTTTTAGATTCGCTTTCTTGTTCCTTTATGGGTACTCTTTCTCTTTCTCTCGGTTCGAAATGGCTTACATTTTTTTCAGATGTAATGAAGTTTATTCTGCTTTTTTTTTTTTTTGGTAGTTTCTATGCTAAGAATGTGACGTTTAGTACTATCGACGTTCTTGATCATAGAATCCTAGTTCTGATTCTCGGTACAACATGCTTGTGATTTTTTTCCTTTTATTGTGATGGTCGTAATGTAACTGAAGGATTAGTGGAAAATTATTTTCTCATGAATGACGACATTGTTTGGTTCTGTTTTTGATTAAAACTTTCTGGTTTACTCTTATTTAATTGTTTAGGTGGAAATGCTCACTTTTCCCATCCATTTGAATCTATGCAAGGTGATTATAAAGCAACTTTCATTAGGTGTTTATTTTACCTTACCTGGTGATTGTTTCTGTATCTGTTAGTTAAAGAATTCTTCTCTCTCACTCCCCTGATCTATGGCGATTACTTAATTTTTAAGTTGGGCATTGCTATTAAATTAATGCTGTGGTATAGGAAGCGTACCTTACTATCTGTCCTTTTTTTCCCTAAAGGTTATATTGCATACATTTTCAGGTACACGGGCAAATGCTAAAGTGTCTAGAATAAGGTCTCAGTTTGCATGAGATGAAAAGGAATCTCTTGGCCTTAATAGTAGGGACTTGTGTAGGCTTTGTCTTTGGAGTGGGTGTGGCAGCTGCATTACTGTGCTGCTTCTGGTGCCAAAATAAGCATACACAAGTAGGGAGAAGCTCTGAGAAATTAGGAAACATTCCCTTTCGTATCAAAGTAGTGGATCCTGGGGCATCAGTGTCAAGCTCAAATGTGGGGCAGGAGTCACCCGTATCATCTGACTGGAGTAACATGCCTCTTTGGTTGGAAGGACTTAAGAGGAAGGATGTTGGTTCTGCATGCGGAATTCCAAAGTATTCTTACAAGTATGCTGTTTTAGTTATTATTTACATGAATGCTGCATACTTGATGTTGTTTGTAGATATTCTTCCACTAAACGCATAATGTTATTTGTTTTCTATCACTCCGGTTCATAAAGTTTAAAATGACGGACATGCTAAGCTTAACATTTGTTGCTAATTTCCTCATGTTCTATAGACTTTATAAGCGAAAGAAGTGAAAAGAACCTCATAAGGATTTCCTGCTTTAGCCGAAAACTCCTAGCTTCCTGAACTCTAAAAATCATGATATCTGCAGATAAGCAGGAAGGACAGTGAGGAATACTTAGTATAATTGCTTTAAGTTGTTGGAAGCAAATAAATCTAACAAGGTTATATGAGAATATTATGGTTGATATGTAACAAAACAAGAAAAGGAATAAAGTTGCCAACTTAAATGCAGAGTTAGCTTCACTTGACAAGAAGAAATGGCAAATTGTTTGGAAATTGGAGATAATGAAATTGGAAAGAAAAGATGCAATTTCTCTGATACGTAAGAGATTAAAATCAACCAGAGGTGACTAGAAATAATCATGAAAGATTAATAATAGAAGAATTAGCCCTAGGAAAGATTGAACTATTCAGCTTCCAAGGTTATGACAAACTTCAATTAGCTTTACCCTCAGGTATTCTAAATTTGTAATGTTTCTTGTTTTGGGTTCCAAATGCGGGTTTATCAGCCCTATCTCACTTACTGTTGACTCAGTGATTGAAGTGGGGAGGCATGCAGTAATCTCCCTAGTTTGTCGACAACCCCCCCCCCCAAAAAAAAAAGATTTTAGGGTTGTCAACATTATATATCATCTCTCTTCCTAATTTTGACCTTGTGATATCTTGTCCAGAGATATGCAGAGGGCAACTTCTAATTTCACAACCATCATAGGTCGTGGTGCATTTGGTTCAGTTTACAAAGCTCAGATGCTCGCTGGTGAAACAATTGCTGTTAAAGTTCTTGGTAACAATTCAAGACATGGAGAGAAAGAGTTTTTGACCGAGGTAATTTTAAATGATGTTCTTACGAGTTAAAGAATTTTTTGGTCCACAAGAGTGCCGATGTCTGAAATGAAGAAAGGCCTCTTTGACTTGCAATGGTGATTAAGTGCGCAAGTAGGCTTAAAATGTGGATGATTTGTGATGTTAATACAATTGGCTCTTCGACTACAGGAAACTTGTTGGAGCAGAAGTAAATATTACATGAGGAATGAACTTCACTTAAAAAACTATGATGTTGATAAATCTCCTATTCTGCTGCTATGAATAGAAAGAGGACTTATCCTTATATATAATTCAGAATGCCAGTTGATTGGTCCCTTCTCTGTTATCTTTCCTAGAAACTGCACTTCATAAATAGCATGGTAGGAGGAAACATCATTTCATCTTTTTTCCAAATACAAAGGAACCTTCATATTGGAATTGAAAAGTTCTATCGGACATTTGTGGATACATGTGCACGCACGCACTTTTCTTTGTATTACAATCAATTCTTGCACTTTATTCCTATAGCAATCTTGGTATTCTATTTTGCTACCCGTATCTTACCATAATATGTACTCAAACTTTTCCTCGCACCCGATATTTTAAACAAGGATAGAGTTGAAAGGGAGATGAATTTGGAAAGTTATACCACAAAAATGTTGCAAGTGAAAGCTAAACTATTCAGCAGCAGAGTGAAGATATAGAAAGAGGATGAATCCAATTATTCTTTTTCCATATCGTGTATTAAATGCTGTTGTCCTCCATCACTTCTTTCTTATGTACAACCACTACTAATCTATGACTTCTACTACCCATGGTTCCAATAACGCAGCAAATCATTATTTGAATCAACTCACTAAAAGCTAATATACTTGTGATGAAGTGGCGCTATAGCCTTTGAAAATTATAACAAAAACCTATCTTACATTTTGATCCTTTCCTGTTAACAGGTCTTGTTACTTGGAAGATTACACCACAAACGTCTTGTGGATTTAGTGGGATATACTGCCGAGAGAGGACATCATATGCTCCTTTTTGCGTACATGAGTAATGGCAACCTCGCCTCTCACTTATATGGTTAGAATGAGTGCAACTCTTTAGCAGAATGCTTTCTAATATTTCCTGACTAGGTATTTTTCTTTAGAAAGAGAGTATAATGATTTCTTCCTTTGGTCCACACAGAAAATGGTTAACCCATAGTATTCTGAATCCACAAAAGCATGTACAATTGCTTGAATTTATATAACTTTCTTAAAAGAAATTAAATTGGTTTGAGTTTTTCTTGGAAATAAACCACGTTGGCGAACTATATTTGTACATTCTGGAGGCATAGTTCAGTGTCACGCCTTGTGGTCTTCTCTTGCCGTTCATGAATCAATTTGTTGCTTCAAACCGCTATGGGTTTTTCACTTATAAATTTAAAACCACTATAAGATGTAATCAGACTGGATGGTTATATGTAACGAAAAAGAAATACTGGGTGGTTATATGCTGGCCTGAATTTCAATCACCTACCTGCTTCCCTTGACCATTTATTTGTCTATTAGTAGAAGTTTTTCCACTTGGAAAAATGAGCTTCAGTTTTTCTTCTGAGAGCTTAAAAAAAAAAAATTTTTTGATAACTCTTTGTTCCTCATGAATCAATAGCTTAATGGAAGATTTATTTGACGTCTTTATAACTATTTTATGTGTTGAAGGTTTAGGCAAAAATCAGGAGCCATTAAACTGGGATGCAAGATTTCAGATAGCACTAGATGTTGCGAGGGGACTGGAATATCTACATTATGGGGTACATAGTATACTTGTTTCTTTTTTGTTGGAGTTTGTACAAATCATTTGTATAGAACATTGCAATAGGTTTAATTTTGGTTTCTTATTCAACGAACTCCATATTTCAGGCTTCTCCCCCTGTTGTGCACCGTGACATTAAATCTTCCAACATATTGCTGGACCAGTTTATGAGAGCGAAGGTATGATGCTTGTTTCTGTGAAAATTATGCTGCAAATCTCCTTTCTTTTAATGCAACACACTTCAACGTGTATTACTTGCTTAGCAGGTAACTGACTTTGGGCTTTCTAGACCAGAGATGATTAAACGTCGTTCATCTAATATCAAAGGAACTTTTGGCTATCTTGATCCTGAATACATGTCTACAAAAACCTTTACCAAGAAGAGTGATGTTTATAGTTTTGGTGTGCTACTCTTTGAATTGATTACTGGCAGGAATCCACAGCAAGGCCTGATGGAATATGTGAAACTAGTAAGTTCTAGTGTTCTGCTGTTCTAGTGCTATGTTGGATGTGAGCTCGTGCTACGGTGCATATGGATGTATAATATTTTGGGGAAAAAAACGTAGATGGACTTTTTATTATTTTTCTATCATTGACATGAAAAATTATTAAGCTGTCAATAAGGGAGTACCATGTTATACAACATAAAACACGTTTTCTTGTGCTGAAAGTTGAGTCATAATATTCATGGTTTGTTAATAGTAGGATTTGTTATAGATTTTTATCTTATATGTTGGTATGTAGATGTGAACTGTTCTAATTGTTGACGGGGAAAAAAAAAAAAAACTGTTCTAACTGGATATGCATTTCATGTAGACAATAGATTATTAAGCCTATGCGATTAAAGTTTGAACTGCATTTAAAGTTGCAAGATTTTTATCTTTTACATATCAATAACCATTAAATATTATAGCGACATTGCCATAATATCTCTTCGTGGTGATGATTAATTAGGCAGCCATGGAAGCCGAGAGTAAGGTTGGGTGGGAAGAAATTGTGGATTCACAGCTTAATGGAAAATATGATGTGCATACGCTTAATGATATGGCTGCTCTTGCTTTGAAATGTGTCAATGAAGCATCCAGAGATCGGCCTTCCATGAGGGACATCGTTGGAGCATTATCCCAGCTCTGTAAGAAGAAGCATGGTGGAAATAGTAATATGAAGTCTCCTGCAGTGAATGAAGTTTCCATTGAAATGGATGAAGTTTTCATCCACAGAGCACTCAAATGTGATGCGCAAATTGCATAGCCGATGATGATATCTGGTTTGATTTGGATATTTGTAAATACTTGTTTCTCTATATCCTTTATTCTTATTATATGTAAATATCTAGCGTGATCTTGGATTATTATTGTTCTTGTTGTTATTATTATTAGCATTATTATTACTGGGCAGTTATTGGCCAGTACACACACACACTCTATTGGGTTTGCCCATCTCCCTCTGCCACTAATCTAATCCATACCCTTTTTCTTCATTCACCCTATCAATTAGTCTTTCTCTCACAATCACATTCCGTTTCATTTTCCTCCTATTCCATTCCAGGGATTCAATTTGGGACGATTGTGTAGAGAGGAGAAAAAGTAAACGATTTACCTTTTCATTAATATACATATATATATATGTGTGTGTGTGTGTGTGTGTGTGTGTCAGATATGATAAGGTGCTGTGATGAGGGGTATAGGCAAAATTGTTCTTAGTGTGAATGGTATGAATGAGTCTCTCATAATGTTGAACTTATTTTTAACTTGAACAATTTTTAGTGTAGTGTTTTAGTAAGTAATTAATTTTTACCATGTAAGATTTCCGAAAAATTTTTTACTGCTTGCAATATATTAGTTAAAAAAAAAAAAGACAATCATCATTATCTATATTTCTGTGTATGATTTGTAGGAATTTTTTATTTTGTGAAATTTTATAATTTTGATTCAGTTTCATTTTGGAATAAAATAAAAGTTTAGGAATACTTTTATATAGCATATTCCCATATAGACCTCTCCTTTCTAATTTGTAGCCCAGTGCTTAATATATCACATTAAGCTTCACAAATCAGATAGTTATTACACAAGCTCAGAGTCTGCAACATTAACTTCAAACATATCAAAGTTCAATTCTTGAGAACTCCCTTAGTCTTGAAGTATTCCACAGTCTGATCATAGATTTCTTCGATCCCAAACTTGAATTCAAACCCTTCTTTGATGAGCTTCTCTGAAGAGAACACTAACTTGGGCTTGGAGGGGCAATCAGCAAATCTTCATATACAAAATATAGCAGTTCATTAGTATAAATGTTGAAGAATATATATATTTTTAACAGAAAAAAAAAAGCTCCTGAACAATGCTATTTAAAACACAAGAGTATTGTGAGATTTTCTTTGAAGGCATCAAATAGGGTGGTTCATTCGGAAAAGCATGAGACCTTCTACGTTCTGTGAAGAAGTTACTCCTCCGGTCCTTAATATAGGACCCAATTCTTGAGTTGGTTTTGGTCTTAAATATAAGACCTATTTCTCATATTTATCAATTTTCTCTAAATTACCCTTATAGATACTCTCTCACTCATAATTAAGTAGAAGTGGGAAAGGGGGTATTAAGAAAGATGATTATGGTATTTTGAGAAAAATGTGTCACTTTTCTTATAATTAACTAACTTCCTAATTTTCTTAATCTAATCAAATTAGTTAAATGGGTCTTACATTAAGGACCGGAGGAGTATTACTCCCTCTAGTACTTCATACGAGACTTAATTAGAAGATTGGATTTGGTCCTAAATCTCAATCCAATTTGTCGCTCAAATTTATAATTTTTTTCTCAAAATATCTTATTAATTGCCCATTAACAAATAATTACAATACACATTATTAAATAAAATAATAATTTAAGAAAACCAGCACATATTTATTATAAATAACAAATCTAACTAATTTTTTTAATATTACAAAATTAATTATCTAAATCTTATGTTAACAGCAGGAGATAGTAATTTTTTTTATTTTTGATCTAAGTCGACATTTATTTATAAAATTTGGTAGTTATAAACATTTATTTTGTATTGTACTTCTTTAAAATAAGATAAAGAAGGACAATACAAGCAGTCCAAGGAAAATATGCGCATCCTTCTAGATGAATGAGCACGGCCACATCTTTAATTTGGAAGACTGGCAGGTAGACAATTTGTTGATGTGGTATTAGCAAAGGTGGGGTCATTCACGTTAGACTATGACATGAGATATTCACAAGAGAATTACTTCTCAAATATTTAAAAAAAGAAGAAGCAAAAAACAAAACCGTAGCATGGTTGAACTGGTTATTAATAAATTGATGTATGATTAAAATAATAAATAATTATCTATAATAATAAAAATTGAAATTGAAATTATATATATAAAATATCTACCAATGCTCCGTCATTTTCAATCCAAAATGTATATACTTATTTCATTTTTAATAATTATAATTTTAGAATATATACATATACACACATATATCTCTCTATTTTTTTCTTTATTTCTAAATGCTTATTACTAGATATAAATATGCATAAATTGTAGCTTAGAAATATAGACTGAAAAAAAATGTGAGCAATTCGAGGCTGATTCTTAACTTTTTTGTTTTTCCTCATAAATATGAGACTGGTTTCCAGTTCGATTTTGATTCGATTTTTAAAACATTTTTTTCGTCACATCCAAATAAATGAGCAAAATTATTATTTCAATTTTACTGTTTAAACTTCATTTCTTCTTCCTTATCTCATAAACATTTGAAAATTGCACCTTTACAAGGGCAAGAATTAACAAATAACTATTAATTTAAAAAATCAATTTTAAAATTTCATGATTGAGTTTCAATTGTTAAGTTGTCTATCATGTTATACCCATGAATTTCTCAATTAAATAATGGGTGTTTTTCAAAACAAAATCCCTAAAATCTAAAAATTTAGGACCTTTAGTCAAATTTAAGATCATTTAATTTCTAGGGCCAACTTGACAAAATCTTAACACTACAAAACTTCGGCTCAACAAGCCCAAAATGACCAGACAAAACTGAGCCATCAAGCCATTTTAATGTCACCCTTAGTTAAATTTTTGTAATATGTAAAAAATCCACAAGTGAAAAGGGGAACAAGAAAGAAACAATAAGAAAGTTGAATATTTGGATCAGAAAGCTTACTCAGTTGGAACATTGTACTGAGGATATCGCTTGCTAAGGAACTTGGCAAGCTCAGGAACACTTGTGTTATGAACACAGCAATTGTATCTGCCAGAAGCTGATTCTCTCTCAGCTAAAAATATCTGTGCTCTGCAAACATCTTCCACATGAGTTATGTTTATTGAACCTGACAGCTTTTGCATTCCTTTCAATCCATTTATCAGAAACTCATTTCCTGCAAAGTTTTAATCCATCAGAGATAAATATAAATAGACCTATTTAATCATATGAACATCACAGGATCATGTCAGATTCAGTTTTGAATAGGACTTAGAATGTTTAACTTGTTGGCTTGGCTTGTACTGATCCTTAGTATGTAGACCAAACCATATATAAGGAAAGATTAAAGTGTCTTTGTATCCCAAAAGTGTTCTTAAAGGAGGAGCTATGGGCATCACAGAAAAAAAGTTGTAGGGTAATGTAGTACACAATCGTCTGAAATTGGGACAATTTTGCCCTTTATCAACAAGCAATGTTAAGTCAACATCAGGTCTAAAAAAGTCTTTTGACTCACGCTAATAGTTGACCTAACATTAATTGTTAAGGAAGGATGAAATTGCGCCGATTTTGAAAAATTATATGCAATATCACTCTATAATTTTCTTTAGGGTGTCCATAACTCTTCTGAAATACTTTTGAAGTGAAAATAAATTTTAACCCGATAAGAAATTAATCCAAAAAAAAAAGTGGGTCAATTAGCCTTATCAAAGGGTAACACCCCCTCTTACGAGTTTATTTGCAGCCATGCAGCAATGCAGCAGTGAGGGGGGAAGAGACAGAGAGGGTGGTGGGACCCACTTCTCTGGGTCTATCTCTGTCCAGCCAAAACATATGTATGATCTAAAATAGTCTTGTCCATGTTTCTAACATGCAAGTTTAAGAATTCCTTTTAAGCAGATGGCATGAAGTTTTGGACCTGTAATGAGGGACATGGCTAGATCGGCACTGCTTGGGATATCTGGGGTGAGAGAAGGACCAGCCATGAGACTTGGTATCACAGTGATGAGATCTATGTTGTTTTCTTCAGCAAATTTCCATGCAGCTTTCTCAGCTAATGTTTTGGACACAGGATATCCCTAAATACATAATTTCAAAACCAATCCAATTCTCAACTACTTCAAATCAGAGAAACCATTGGTAAAATATCCACACACACACCCCAAAAAAAAAAAAAAAAAAACTTAAACCCAAAACCATAAAATCTAAACCCTCTGAAGTTAAGAATCTGTAAAATTAGCAAAGTAATACTCTATGTGAATACTAGTACCTTATAGTCAACTTCACCGGCTTTAACCTTTGAACACCCGCTCATATTAAAGAAAATGGGTTTGCTAAGGGTTTGGTAACTTACCCAAGTAGGAGGTTTTGCAGTGGTCAAGAACTCAGTGTCAGTCCAGTTGCTTTCATCCATGACCAAACCAGTCCCATTGAGTGTGTTTATAGTCACAGCAGCAGCTGAAGATGTCAGTATCACTCTTTTCACTGATTTTGCTCTTGCACATGCCTTCAATACATTCAAAACTCCTTGGATTGCTGGCTTTATCATGTCATTCTATATCATATAGGAAATCACATAAACATAATCTTGTATTAGCTACTAGCTAGGTATGTGCGCGCGTGTGCGTGTGTGTGTGCTTGTGCGTTTGGGTAGATGAATGTATGTACCTCGGGATCTTGGGAAGCGAAGTTGACGGGTGTAGCAACATGGAAGACTAGATCACAGTCTGCTATAGGGGCATCAAACTTGTCCTCTTCAGTTAAATCTGCTCCAAATATTTTCAGCTCTCCCAGATTTTGAAGTGCCACAAGGTGGGATATCTTTTTAGGGTTACCTGCACAAAACACTCAAGTCAAAACTTTGATTCAGAAAAAAAAAAAATCACACAATATCATATCTGATTGTGGTGTTATATTTTCTTCTACATATAGAAAATTCCATGGTGCTCGCTATCATGATTACTGTGTGCTATATTTTCTTCAACACATATCCTACCTACCCCCTCTTAATTGAAAGAAAAAGTTGTAATATCTGTGAGTCATACTTCAAGCTGGGCATTATAGTGCTTGATTAAGAATTTTATGTGGTTATCAGATCTGCTGAATTATGAGTTAGCTTTATGACTGTAGTTAAGGAAATGAGGATGGAAGCTGAGATGTCTCCTAATAATGAGGCCCTACGTCTAGCATAGTAATACATACTATCTCGGTCTTAAATATAAAATCTAGTTTGTAACGCAAATCTAAATATAAATTCCAATTTAGGATCCGAGGTAGTAAAATATATAGTGAGAGAGAGGAGAGAGAGAGAGAGACCTGGATCTCTAACAGTGGTATTGACGGAATAACCCTTGAGAAGCAAGTGCTTGATGAGAACGGAGGCTACAAAACCAGACCCACCAATGACACACGCCTTCTTCATCATCTTTCCTCTTTATATGAACAGTACACAGCCACACACACAATATTCTCTTCTTTTCTGATCTCTCTCTCTCTCTCTCTAAGGAGTAATATCTGATGGATGGACGGTATAGAGTTGAATTTGATGCTTAAATAGAACATATTTCTTAGGTAAGCACGTGATCTGCCTGTGAGGTATGGTGTGAGAGCTACCAACCGTTGAAAGCAGAAACCATTTTTATTTTCATGAAGACAACTGTATCTACCTCTCCTCGCTTCATGGGAGCAGATAACGTCAGGTACGGATCCAGATTTTATGAGAATTTTTTTTTACAATGTTTTCTAAAGATACCAAAAAAAAAAGAAAAGAAAACAATTTTGTGGCATAGAAAATAGTTAAAAAAATTGTTTGATGTGTGCCAAGAAGGTTATAGAAAGTGCCAATAAGAATGGTAGATCAAATAATATGGAATCCTATAAAAAGAAAAAAGATGAAAATTGAAGGAAAAATTTGTTAAACTACAAAAAAAATAGCAAATTATTGATAGGCAACAAAATTTGCAAATTTCATCATTAAAAAAAATACTGTCACTAATTGATTAACAATGAAAATCTACATGTAAATTGATTGGCAACAAAATAATTTGTTGATTTTTTTTCTTATAATTTGTACGTTTAAAATGGTATGGACATATACAAAGAAAATTGTTAGAATATTATTCCCAAAAAAAAAAAGTTGCTAGAAGCACTTACTAAGGAGAGTAAATCCAACAATATGAAATTATCTTAAAAATGAGAGAAGAAAATCGAACCTAAAAATTTAGTTAAAGACATGATACAACTACTAATTATATAACCCAAGCATGTGGCTATCGTCCATTCAATTCAAAGTTTAAACCAACCCCATATCTTCACATTTGGGCCCACCCCGTTAGCTGAGTGGGCTGAAGGCTTTTGTGCTGATTGTCTCCCTTTTGTTATGAGCACAAATTTACTGGACTACAGCATCACGTGCGGCTCGCTACTCCTTTAGTTGCCAGAATGCACCGTTGGATGCACACAAATAAAGATCAAATTTTAAACTTCTAATTTTAATCCTTAAAATTTAATCCATTTTAAGGTTTTAGTCCCTAAAAGTGTTACAATATTAAAATTTACTCAAGTATTATAAATGACATTAAAAGTAGTGATATGAATTCACTAAATGGAACCCATTTTGATCTTATATGGGTAACAGGGAAAAAAAACAAGACTTCAAAATATAATATAGAGGGAGATGAATTCTCAAAATGTAGCATACTAAATAGCTCCTAAAACAAACAATGAGGAAAAAAAACCTGAGGGAAGCTAAAAGCTACATTTTGAGGATTTATTCTTTTTTTCTCCCTCTTTGATATCCACAAAAGATCTAGGCAGATGCTATCTGTTAAGTCTATATCACAACTTTAATGTTGTTTATGACATTTTAATATATTTTAACACTGTTACACTTTAAAGGATTATCATTTTAAGATAAATTAAATTTCATATACTAAAACTATGAGTTTAAAATTTGAGAGATCAAAATTAAAATAGACCTAAATTTCAAGAACAAAAAATTATACTCCTCCGGTCCTTATTATAAGACCCAATTTGACTTTTTATTTGGTCCTAATTATAAGACCCAATCCATTTTGTCTCTTATATTTATGCATTTTTTTCCAAGATAATCCTTCTAATAATGATAGTTTTAGCCAATATACTTAATTAGCAAGGATATTTTAGGAATGACAACACTTATTTATTATAAATAACCAACTTAACTTACTTCCTTAATCTCCTCAAATAAGTCAATTGGGTCTTATAATTAGGACCGGAGGAGTATTAACCAATTAAAAAATGAAAATAAAAAATAAATTTATAAATAAAAGTGTCTCCTTTGATCTTTAAAATAATAAAAAGGATTAATAATTATAATATAAATATAATCAATATAATTACATAATATCAAAATACCTCTCCTATTTTTTGAACAAAAAGATATAGGATAAAATAGCATCCAACACTTTAATTTTATTTTTTTAGTGATTCTAACACTATGATTTTATCTATGGTACATCTAACTCCCTAAACTATAAATAGAGTTAGTAATGTTGACTCGCTCACTGGTTACAGGTCAGCATGTCACAAGTTGGAAACTTGGCAAGGCTGAAAAGACCCATATTTTAGCGGACTAGCATTTAACCAACCCGAACCTATTAGGAATGGGTTGGCCTTTTTAGTTTTATTTACATTTTAAATATAGGTTTTTAAATTTCAAAATTAAATTACAAACTTTTAATCTTTTATAGACTAAATTCTAATTATTTTTATATTTTCATATAATTATATAAATAAATTAATCTCAAAACTTGCGTTAACATATAATTTATTTTTATTAATATAAAAATAATAAATTGATAAATAAGAAATGAAATCAAACTTAAAAAGGTAAAAGTATGATTTTATCCCTAACTTTATTTCTCAAATTGCACTTGCTCCTGATTTTTTTTAGTACTATAATTTTATCTATAATTTTTTTTTTATTTTGATGCAATCATAAACATAAACATGTGATATATTAACCACGTGGCATTAGATTTCTTTTAGATATTAACCTTGCAAACACAGAGAGAAGAAGAAATAACCAAAGAACACCAAGTAAACTCAGAATTGAATTAGGATATTCCATCACATGAATATTCAGTTTCTTTCTTTTAGACTTATGTTGGTTTATTTAATCAATTTTGTTTAGTTTCCACATCCTTAATGCTCATACAAAATTTTTGAAGCTGCAGCGCATGTTCACTAACATTTGAACATATCAGCAGGGATATGACTTGAACTTTTTTTAAAACTTTTTTTGAATAATTTTTTATACGACTTGATTAAAAATTTTTAGATTATAAGAGTTAATTTAAAATTGAGTGATATTGCAAGAAGTACATCCCAAATTAATTGTAAGATAAAACTTATTTCTTTTTTCCTCTTTCAAAATTGAATAGAAAGCTGAACTTAATTGACGAGGACGACTTTTCGGGTCCAATAAATTTAAAAGGGAAAATTTTTCCAACTCATAAAAAAAAAGAAAGAAAGAAGTACTCAAGAAATTATATGAAATAATGATATTATTAAAAGTAACAAGAAGATTAAGGCTATCACTAGCACCTTTTTTAATAGCTTCGTTGACACTTTAACCATGAATAATAATTTTTAAAAAATAGTATGGATAACTTTGGGACAAGTTATAATTTGTCAAATTTTTTAAAAATAATCATCATTTCACATATGAATTGTAAAGGCCCTTAATCTATTTTGAACCAAAAGTTACAAGGAGGTGGTTAACCTTATTACTAAGGGTCGTGATGAAAAACATCTTTTTAAACATATCATTGATGATGCTTGATTGATCATACATAGAGATCGGCAGTTTTACCACGGGCCGTCTGGCCGAGTGGTATGCGTGCGTGCGTGTGGGATGCGTACGTGCGGGTTCGATCCCGCCTCTTGTAACCGAAAAAAAGAGATCAGCAGTTTTCTCTGTGAGACATTCATCAGGAGAATATTCTTTTTACTGATCACTTAACCAAACACGAACATAGAAAATGTCTTTTATATCCTTAATCAACCATCATCGTATTTACATAAAGTGGACTTTGATAGTGGAAACTAAAATTTGATTGTATTGCTATGTTCTTTACTATGTAAATGAATTACATACATATTTTTATTCAAAAAAAAAAAATTGTAAAGCCACCCCCAACCAGGAAAAAAAAGATCTAAAAGTTCTTAGTTTCCGAGAAACAACAGAAAGATTTTTTATTTTTTCAGTCTATGTATATGTATAAACTTTTTTATATATAAAAGAAGGAAAATGTGTACATGCATGTGATATATATATATATATATATATATGAAGTTTGCTTGTTTGGATGGTGATACTGTGGTTTCCTTGTCCAGCGTAGATAAGAATATGAGAAAGGCAAAGAGAGAAGAAAGATGAAGCAGAATAAAGTGAAAATGTGAACAAAACAAAAGCAACTTTTGATATGATATATTAATATCTACAGCTAGCGAATTCGGACCCTCGTTGTATACTATGATATGATATATTATGCACCGAACCTGCCTCCATATCTTTATTCCTTATTCCTTCTTCCTTTTTTCTTTTTTCTTTATCTGACACTCACATATATATAGAGTTACTTATTATTAAAGTGAAGAGTTGGCAACAAAGCTAATAATAAGCTCACATCTCTTTCTCCTCCTCTCCTTCTTCTTCTTCTTCTTGGGCCTTGTCTGTGTACTCTCTCTTCTGACAGGAAAAATAATGGCAGTTAAAGGCAAAAACTATGGCTTCCTTATCTGCATATTTGTCATCGTCGTGGATGCTGTTGCTGGCATTCTTGGAATTCAAGCAGAAATTGCTCAGAGCAAGGTACACAAACTCTCAAAATTCCTATATATACATCCTTATTTTTTGTCATTTATTATATGAACAGTTATATGATATGATCTATTTAGCCGACTTTGATTAGTTAATGGGACAAATCTTGTTATTGATGCACTGATTTACAAATAGTTAGTTTTTTCATAAAAAGTGTTTGGATAGAATCAAAACTATAATTTTAAAAGTATTTTTACGGTATATGAAATAAATATATGGAGAAATTTATCTCGATTTACAAAAAAATACTTTTTAGAAACACTTTTGATGCTTCCCAAATACCATTATAGTATGATAAAGTTATGTGAACTATATATGTAATCAACTTCACTTTGTAAGATAAGAATCACAATGTTTTGATATAACGAATGATACTAAACAGGTAAAGCATGTAAGAATGTCAGTAGTAGAGTGTAGAGATCCAAGTATGAAAGCCTTCCAACTAGGGTTGGCTGCAGCAATTCTGTTGGGCGTTGCTCATCTTATTGCAAACTTGCTGGGTGGCTGCATTTGTATTTGGAACAGACAGCAGTATATGAGAGCCTCTGCCAACAAGCAATTAGGAATGGCTTTCCTCATTTTCTCATGGTATTAACCTTCACATCCCCTTTTAATTTCATTTTTTTTCTTGCTTTTAAATTTATGTTTAAGGTTTTCACAATGCATCCTTTAAAAACTTTTATTTTTCTTGCACTCCATTTGACCCTGTATATAAGATACTTCTAACTATTTCAACATAACCACACAAAAAAAATAGTTAAATCTATTTCAAAATTTAAAATAAAATTTTAAATTCACCCTATTTAAAAGCAGGGATTTAAAAAGGGAAATTTTTGAAATTTGTAAGCAATGGCTTTTTGGGGAAAAAATAATTAATACTCCACTTTTTTATGCAAAGCAACCGATACATAGGACTATCAATTTGTTTTCCTTTCAGAATGCGACTATTATATATAGGACTGAATAAGAGAATAAAATTGGAATAGTGTAATTAATTTTTTATGTAAAGTGACTCGTAAAAACAGCCATTAATTTCTTGTAAAAGACGATTTATACATAGAATGGGCCAGAATTAACCCAATATTTGGTATGAAAACGGAGACGGAAGGATTAGGAAAATTTTACAAAAAACGACAAAAATAGAAAGTGAAAATTACTAAATCTCAAAGAAGGTTTGATAATAACACTTTATTTAGTATTGACAATACTGAATTTACAAATAATAATAACTTTTTTTTGACATTTTTTATTTGACATTTATTAATTTCTAACTTTTTTTGGGTCATTTTTCCAAAATTTTAACAAGTTCAATTTAAAAAAAATAGAGAAGTGAAATTATGAAATTTCAATAAAAAGAAAATGTAAGATAAAAGATTGAAAACTCATTCACTTTCTTCAATTTTTTTTAAATCGAATTTATTAAGATTCTTCCTCCCCTCGTTTCTCCTTCATTCCATTTTTTGTACCAAAAAGACTGTTAAGTGGAGATGCATGAACGCAGGGTGACAATGGGAGTGGCATTGTCAATTCTGATAATGGGGACATTGGCAAACTCAGAGACAAGATCAAGAGCACAATGTACCATCTCAACTCATCGTTTCTTGTCCATTGGAGGCATCTTGTGTTTCGTCCATGGCCTCTTCACCGTTTCCTATTATGTCTCCGCCGCCGCCGCCGCCAGAGAAGATCAAAGACTACCAGCCACAACAACAAACCGCTAGATATATACACACACATGCCACACACACTCATCATACATATACACACACACACATACTCCAACCTCTTGTATGTACTATATGTATTCTGCTTCATAATTCATGACTTTTCCATTGTAAAATTAATTCACATTTTCATCTCAAATATTACTTCAACTTTTTCCCTCCCCTGTTCTACTGCCAACAAGGCAAGAATTTATAGCCCCGTGCAAAGATAGTTTGATAGATACCGTTGATTTTTTTTTTTTTAACAATAATTCAAACTGCCTTCTTCCACATATCTGTTACAACTGCACTACACTAGCTGTTGATTTCCTCAATTACAAGCAAAAACCAATTCAATGCACGAAATCTTCTGCATCAAACAATGCATTTAGCCCTCAACTTTTGATCCGATGGCCATTTTCTTCGACAAGAGCATGTTGTGAATGTTCGGCAAAACGCCGCCGTTGGAGATCGTCACTTTCGTCAGCAACCTGCTCAGCTCATCGTCGTTCCTCACCGCCAATTGAATGTGCCGAGGAACAATCCGAGTCTTCTTGTTGTCTCTTGCCGCATTCCCAGCCAATTCCAACACCTGCATTGCATTTTATCCATGATCAACATTCACTGTGTTTCCAAATTAACGAAGCGCGATCTATGAATTCTGAGATTTTGAAGATTGGATTCCGTTTTAGAAGTGTTGTTTCTGAGGAATGAAACTGACCTCGGCGGAGAGATATTCCAAGATGGCGGCGAGGTAGACTGGAGCTCCGGCACCGAGACGGTCGGAGTATTTCCCGGACTTCAAGAAGCGGGCGATCCGACCCACGGGGAATTGAAGACCTGCTTTACTGCTCCGAGAGACGCCTTTCTTGCCGGTGCGAGCACTGAGAGATTTTCCTCTGCCGGCCATTTTTGTCACAGAAGGAAGAAGGGTTTAGGCTTTTAGTTCTGAAGACGGTTCAAGCGTCGACGACGATTCTTGGGATGGCGGAGTCCGATGATTCCGTTCGGTTTTATATAACGACGTGGGAGGAGGATGTTGGGCCAATTAGGAAACGTCACACGGATCGTAATCTTAAACCGTTGATTGGTGAGTGATTGTACGGTCAGATATTAGGATTCCATTAGGCTTTAAGTATAATTTTATAAGTAAGTTTTAATTTACATTTATGACTATTAAATACATTTAATAAATACTAGCTCTGATATTTAATATAAAAACTAGATAATTAATTTTTAAACATTAAGAAATTTAGTTAAGTTAATAATTTGTAATAAATTGGTATTTTTTTTTCTAAAATATTCTTATTAATTATATGCATTAAAACTATCACTTAATGAAAATTCTTTAACATGATAGAGATTACATGAGGGCAAAACAAATAAATATTGAAGACAAAAAGAATTGGAGTTTGATATTTAGAATCAAACTAAATCTTCAAATAAATCTTATATTAAGAGTCAGAAATAATATATGTAAAATAATATATGTGTATGTATGAGTTCTCAAAAGAACTTCATTAGTTGTTAATTCTAATATGATGGTTGTTCTTAATGAAAGATTAATAAATTTATTGGGTGTATCAGGGAGGGAGAGCATCATTGTGGGATGAAGCCTTTTATTAATCTTCTTCTGTTCTCTGCTACGAAGTCAATTATATATAGCTTGTCTTACAATTAAAATTTGTTTTGGATAGCATGATTTAAATTGAGTCATTTAATTATGAATTATCTGAAGTTGAATCAAAATTGAATAACATAGTTCATTTCATGCCCATTCAACTGTATTGTATTGTAAATTCATAATTTTTCTTTTTTTATTTTATTTTATTTATAAGTCATTTTCAATATGTTTCACAGAGGAAAAAAACCGTAGATTTCATTAATTTTTATTTAAAATTTAACTACTTTTTAACTTTATCCATATTTAACATACATTATATCTTATAAAAACAAAGTCAATATAATATTAAATAAAAGATAAAATTATATATACATATGAAAATTTTCGCTCTCTACCCTATAAATATAACAAAAAATTTTCTTTTCTCCCTATCATATAAAAAGCACCAATAATTGTAATGTATCTCATACAAAATTTTTTGGGTGTGCTTGACTAAAATTCAAATAGAAAAATATATAATTAAATTGGTGATAAAAACTTACATTAACTTCACATGCTAATTGCCGCTCATAAGAACCCTCAGTTTCGTCACAACGCTTGTGATCTAATGGCTAATCCGTAGTGCAATTGAATTAATTAAAGTTAAGTACCTCTAAATGCAAAATACAGGATCTTAAAGGAGCGAAATGCAAATAATGAGCAGGCGATAAAATTTTCCTCATTTGATTTTCCTTGAAATAGCATCCAATTCACAAACTGTCTGACGCAAAGCATACACAAACCATAGAGGAGAAGAAAAGGAGCATGGAATTTTATTAGTAATTATTTATAATTATTAACCAAGCTTGGAAAGAACATCGTTCAGGGTAGATACTGTCTCTGCGTAATACTTCTCTGCCTCTGGTGTGCTCTTAATTTTTGCAGCATGATCCAACTGTTAATCAATTAAAAAGAAAAAAAAAATATTAATTCAATCATTAAAAAAAATAAATACGTAAGCTTAAATGCTTTATAGAATAATAGAACATTTGTCTAACATATTGCAGAAATTTGACAGAATCAATTTGCAAAATAAATTATTTACCTATGCTTAGAACAAAAAGTTTTTTTTATTTTAATATTTTGATTGTTTAAAGTAATTAAGACATAAATTGTTAAAATATTTCACATGTTAATTGAAAAACTGTTTTAAGTTAAAAAAATAAAAAAATTTCAAAATATGAAGGAAAAATAAGTGAAAAGTTTCTGCTTGACAATTTTATTAGTTAGAAGAATCTGAATTCGAGTACCGGTTGAAATTCTTCATGGCACCAATATTTTTTGAGTATAAAAACATATTAACTCTTTCTAGACTATAAAATTTTCAAACATAGATGTTTAACTAATTTTCTTAAATATAAATCACTCAATCAGATATGACACAATACATATACTTTCTTTCATACAACATTATATACATTACATTATTCTTTATAGCTTTAACTGGAATTTTTTACTTGGAATAAAAATAACATCATGGTAGAAATATAACTTTTCAATTAATAATTAAAAAAATCATATTTCAAATTACAAATTGATAGGAACTTGTTAAAACACAATATATATGAATTGGGAAATATTAATTAGTATGATGAAAAAAGTAAAAAAAATTGTTGAGATTACTCTAAAGCATATAATTAAATTTGAAGGGACATATAAGTTTGATGTTAAAACTTGAAGATAATGAAATGAACTTACATTGCTGATGGTCTGGAAGAGCTTGCCGGTGAGTTCCTTGAGCGACTTCTTCTGGTCCTTAGGCTTAGCAGAGATAACAGTGTTGAGATCATAGCGAAGGTACTCTGCTCTCAAACGCAGATCGTTCTGAACGTACGGCCATGCCTTCTTGTCGATCAGTCCCTTCACGTTCAGTATCTCCTTCGCCGATTCCTTCGCCCTCAGCGCCGCCTCGCTCGGCCCCAATGGCTGCAGGAAGAACCTGTCCTTCAATGGTAACTGCAGATCCCTTGGCTCATCGGAGTTCAGTGTACCAGCTGCCACATTCCATGAGATTTGACCCTTAGATTCTGAAAACGATCTAATGGGTATGGAAGTTTCGGAAGGAATGATTCGAAATACTTACGCAGACCACCGGACGGCGGGGGAGGAGGGCCAACTTTGATGGTCTTGGCGTCAGCAAGGACGGCCTGAACGAAAGACCCAGTGGCCAGACCGGCGGCGACGAGTCCGAGCACGGCACGGCGGCTTGTCTCCGGCTCAGATTGGCCTTGCTGGGCTCTGACAACGAGCCCAGGACGGATCAATGAGAGAGTCCTTCCGTTGCCGGAGGCGTTCAAGCGAGAGCTACCCTCGAACACGGGTTGAGAGGAAGAACGTAAGCCAGCCATTGAAGACGATGCCATAGCTTGAGCCATTAGGATTGAAGCTTGTTGTGATTCGTGTGAAGTGCTTCAGTGAAGTGACAGAATGGGAATATAATTTTGTGGACGATGATGATGACGGGGACGAAGACGACGATATGTATTTTGGGGTTTCTTTGTGAGTGAAGCGAGTGATTCAGAGGCGTTCAATCAAACACCTTATCTGCGATTTTGAAGTTGGATAAGCTGGATATGGTGTTTGGCCAATCAGGGCAGAGGATGATTGGCGAGGAAGGAGACGAGCTGGATTATGTTTCCACGTGGCTTCCTAGCTCCCGACACGTGTAATGACCTGTTATAAGTCCATAGCCAAGATCCGTTACCTATTGTTGTTTTTATTTATAAAATATTTGTTAAAAAGGAGAATTACAATAAATTTTCAAAAAAAAATTATTAAAAAATCCTAATAACAATTGAAACAGCCTGTAATGACAAGTTTCAGAATAAGAAATAATAATTTTTAGAACTTGTTTTGTAATTATTTTCTTTTTGTGGAATCTCATTACAATTTTCTCTTGTTAAAATTTTAAAAAGGTGAGTCTAATTTTAAAAATTTCAAAATTTGCCCCTAAATAAGTAAATAAATAAAAAAGAGCCCTCAACCCTCGTCGCCCAACTGTCGCTGGCAATTAAAGTTCTGGCATTGTTCCAAGAAATTTACTGCATTAGAAGTGTGAAATTCATCAAAAAAATATTGCAAATTGCTAGTGTGAAATGGTGAAACTCACTTTGGGGGTGTTTGGAAGCCCTTAAAACCATGCATTAGAAGTGTGAATTTCACCTCTGGTGTTGTGATGAATTCCCAGAAATATGTCCTTTTACTTTGATTGTCAAGTGTGAAATTCATATAAAGGTGATGTAAATTGCTACCATTGAATGATGATGCTCGCTTTCTAAGCGCAGTAAATTCTACTACCTCTGCTACAGTAAATTCCCTGAAATATGTTCTTTTACTTTAATTTTCCCAGTGTGTAATTGGTAAATAGGTTTTGTAAACAGAATTTTTTATTTTAATGGTTATTTTATATATATTTGTATTATTTTAACAAAATAGTATTATTTTAACAAAATAGTTACTTTTTTTTTCTTGGTGCCCATTTTGTAAGGGCTTTTAAATTAATGTTTTAATCAGTAGTCATGATTACTGATAAGAACTACTTATTAAATTCATTGTTTTGACTCAAATAAATTAAAGATTGCTCATGCTACTCTACCTAGCGCCTCGAGCATTGTACAGGAATGTGTTGTATGAGTAACTCATTACATTTTGGGTGGAATTGTGATAACATAGGCATTCTTCTTAGAAAGAATCATTGCAGCACGATAATAGCTCGGAAATGTGATATTATAAAAAGTGGCATATAATAAAATGAAAAAAAAAATTATATACTAAAAAGGGAAAATTAATCTTGCTCAAACACAGAAGTCGCTTGAGGTTGAGGGGAAAGGGAAAAGGGATTAGGGCATCACACCTAGCTATTGTGGACATTGGAGAAGTTAGTTGGCGATATGATCATCTATTGAAGGTCAGCATTTCATCTCTTCAAAAGTTTATTCATTTTGACAGTCTTCGACATGCTCTTCACAACCTTATCCTCAATCTCATCTTCTTGAATGGAGTTTTATTTTTGTTTTTCCGTTCAATTTTGTCTTGTTTTAGTGAAGGGTAGGTGAAAATGGGGTAAAAGATGTAATTCTCATCTCATAGACGTAGAAAATTTATAGAGGAGGATGCTATTAAGTGTCCCAATTATACAGTCAATATGATAAGTTTATCTAATACTATTTCCGATCCTAAATATAAAAGCTAGTTGACTAATTTGAGTAGATTAAAAAAAAAGGGATAATTAATCCACAGCTCCTTATAGTTTCAACTAATTTTGAATCAGTTCCTTATAGTTTTTTTCTTTTTATCAAGTCCTTATACTTTCACCTGTTTTTAATTAGGTCCTTGTATTTATTTTTCTTTTTATCAAGTCCTTATAAGTTTACTTTATTTTTAATTAAGTCCCTGAATTTTTTATTCTTTATTTTATAAATTCTAATAGTACTATTATATAAACATAAAATAGTGTATATTATTTAATATTAGTTTATAAACAATAATATTCTAAAGATATTGAATTATTATAATGATTTTAATTTTTTCAGCAAAAAAATTAATTGTTCTAAAAATTTTTCCTGAATTAATTAATTCTATTACTTTTTATTACATAATTATTAATTTAATTTAATTATTAATATTTTATATTTCAGTATTAATCTATTTAATTAAGCTTATATTTAATTAATAAATAAAAATTAAAACTACATGGACTTGATTAAAAATTTAGTGGAATTATAAGGACTTAATTAAAAGAAAAATAAATACAAGGACCTAATTAAAAAAAGGTAAAAGTATAAGGACCTGATAAAAAGAAAAAAAACTATAAGGACCTGATTCAAAATTCGTTAAAACTATAAGGACTTGCGGATTAATTAACCCTAAAAAAATAAATTAAGTTAGTTATTTGTAATAAATAGGTGTTGTATTTTTCTAAAATATCATTACTAATTAAGTTTATTGACTAGAACTACCATGATTAGAAGGACTATCTTAAAAAAAATAAATAAATATGATAAATAAAATAGATTGGGTCTTATATTTATGACTAAAATAGAAGTTAAATAAAATTTTATATTAAGGACCGGAGGTAATAATATGATTGAATTGCTTGGTAGGCTAAAGAACTTTTGTTATGATTTAATGGGTTTTGGGTGTCTGCATAAACATACAAGAGTGTCAAACTAATTGCCAATCCAACTTCAAAGGATCCGAAGAAGCTCATGAAGAAAGAGAATGGTGATTTGTTAGATATCATTTACTTGCATATTATATATATATATATATATATATATATATATATGCAATTTTAGGATATCTTGATTATAAAGGCTGCTATATACTTAACTATAGTTATAGTTAAGTACTATCTCCTGTCCTAAATATAAGAGTTAGTTGACTAATTTGAGTATATTAAAGAAATAAGTTAAGTTAATTATTTGTAATAAATAGGTGTTGATTGTCTTTACTAAAATATTCTTGCTAATCAAGTATATTGGTTAGAACTATCATTATTAGAAGAACTACCTTAGAAAAAAATGTATAAATATGAGAGATAAAGTGGATAAAGGTTTTATATTTAAGACCAAAATAATAGTCAAACAAGATCTTATATTAAGAACAGGAGGTAATATATAGTAGCCTTTATAATCAGTTAGATATTATTTACTTGCATATTATTTATACATATATAATGCGCCATCTCCATCAGCAGTTTACTCGTTCAAGTGTCATAAGTGGCATAATTGTACAATTAATAGTTGTTGATTTAGCTTCTCAAATTTTTTTCTTCAAAGAATCATCAGCCCTGTATTTTTCTTCTCAAAAGCAATTAGGAATTAGCAGCACGCAGGTGCTCGTGGTTTTATTACAATCATGAGATATATCCAACACTCAGACACCTTTGAGATGGTGAAAAGCAAACAAGCCAAAAAAAAAAACCAGCAAAAACAAACCTGAATTTGGAAAAAAAAAAAAAGAACAAATGGCAGAAGCTTTTGTGATATATATAATGAAGATTCAAATGTTTGTTAGTGATGAAAACCGGGGGAGGAAATCAAGATGGCAATGGACTAAGTGGCTGCTCTTGCAAAACAATATATATAATATTTGTCAGATTGAATTACTTGATTAGATTTGTATAGTGGAATTAGCTAGTTCGCACTTTAATTGCAAGATTGTTGAAATTTGTGAGAATATTGAATTGTTGATTGAACAACTACAATTGAATAATATATACACACACATAAAAATGTTTTAAACGTTAGATTGAATTATACTGATTGCATGATTGTTGAATTCATATAATATTGCATTAGCCTTTCAGGTATTCAAAAACGGGTTTAAAAAAACAAAGCACATGTTAAAAAAGTTTACTTTTTAGACTGGTTAAGATGATAATATGTTAGATTTTTGGGCTTGGATCCGCCCTTGATGGGCCGGATTATTTGACCGAGTATAAAGAGAATATATCAGTCAAATATCCAAGCGATATCATGATATGTTTGACTTGGTCAAACACCCTGAATCATATCCAATCGGTTACGATATAAATCTAATTAATTTATATTAAATTAATTAATTTATATTGTGTAGATTAAATATATATTAAGTATATATATTTAGAATTAATTGTGATTGATTCTGGATTTGAATTCAAAATATCATGATATTATGAGATAAGGATATATTATATCTTATCTCAGATTTTATCTGATGGGCTCAGTGGATATTTTTATGCTACCCAAAATATCCCTAACAAAAGCTATAAATAGAGGCTTCCCCCCATCAGTTCAAATCACTCCAGTAGTAGAGTTTTCTACTATCTCTCTCTCTCTTATTTTCTTTCTTGCAAAAGTGGTGCTCTGCTGTGCACTTAAAAGCTTAGACTTTCATAGTCTAGCTTAAGCGTGAGTTAAGAAGATCCGACCGACCCGACCCGAGATCCGACCCGGTATGTTTTCGATCCATTCTCCAATTTTTCTTACATTGGCATCAGAGCCGAGATGTTCTTGAGGCTCTCAATATATGTGTGCATATATTATACACGCTCATTTTTCCGCTACATCATGAATATGCCGTATATCATTCGAACTGAATATGCTTGTGTTTTAAACTCAAATACACAATCCGTATTTATCATTGCCGCTCGAAAACATTACCTGCTGTAAGGTTCAAAAACGTGACCAAGGCCTACTTTCTAAAGCTTCCAACGTCGGCCGTTCGAACCATCTTTTTGGGTCTTTAAAATTGATGTTTTTTAAAGAAAATAAACCCATAGAGTTGTAGAGCACGAAAATACGAATCCATAGACACCTAAAATGCATAAAACGGAGCTCGGAGGAGGAAGATATGGCGGTTCGAAAATGGCGGGTCGCGACGGACCGCCGGAGCTCCAGCCGGATCTGGGTGACCCGGCTGGAGGTCAGGGACGACCTGACCAGCCCAAAACGGCGTATTTTGGGCTGGCCAGGACGCAGCGTTTCAGGTCTGTGGACCCGGATCCTCCCTGGAAGTC